CCCGCGGATCCGTCACGCCGACTCGCACGCTTGCCGAGGCCCGCTCGGCAGGCCCTCCGCCTGCCACTCAAGAGCCTCGCCAGAGCTCCAACAGAGGAGAGCTCCCAGCTAGACAAAGGAGAGCGTCTGTCAGCTGAGGACAGGGGGCAAGGCGAGTCCACGACGAGGAGGCCGCCTGGCATGCTGATGCACGCCTTGGGCCCCGAAAAACTAGAGCGGAGAACGCACACATATAATGTGTTATACTTGGAACGGCGCCACCCTTGATTAATCGAAGCGCCCCCGCCCCCACCCCGAACCATTAAGGACACGGGGTGGGGAAAGGTGAAGGACGGGGCCCGAAAAAGTCATTGTCGACAACAGCACACATTATTGCTCAACCAACCCCCATCCCCCATCCCCATCTGGCCATGGTAGCTGGACTCCGCCATCGCGCCCACCTATCTGGGGATAGGCCTCTCGAAACCCAGAGGGAACAGCGCGTATCCCCATCTCACGGGGTAAATCGGCCAGTGAGGCCCAGACCACGCCAAATGAGATAGGGATCGGCGAAACGATGCTTTGCCAGGGCACCGCTTTCGGCGCACCCACGCCCTCGGCGGAAACCAGCGGAGGTAACACGGCGGCGGCTCCGCAGGCGGACGTTGGCGGAGGTTCGGCGATGGGCGGCGGAAGTAGAAGTGATACGTCCATGTGTTTTGCTTCAGGGGGGAGGTCGGGGGCGTCGACGATGGGTGAGACGACGGTCACGCTTGCTTCTTGAAGGAGGGTTGGTCGGATGTGTTGGGTCTCGTCGCCGCGGCATGCGTTCCAGCATCTATCGTCGAGGGCGTTCAGGGGGTGCCCGGATCGTCCCGAAGGGCCGCCGGAGGCCCGAGTCATGACCCGAGAGTCACCAGGCGATGAGATCATCATAGTGGTGGATATCACCCAGACATCGTGTCCCTGCTTCTGTTTTACATCACTGTCATTGTTAGCGTCAGTTGTTGTCTTGCGCTTCTTCCTCTTTGGTATGACTCTGGATTTCTTTTCTTATTCCCCTTTTCAATTATATTATTTCAGGACGCCGCCTTGTCCCTCCTTGTCCGCGCGCACGCCTTGGGCCATGATGCGGTAGCCCTCCGCCTTCTGGCCTTTCCCCTCCTCCTCCTCGGCGAGTTCGAGGACCGGCGGCCGAACTCCTTTCCCCCCCGCCTGCCTCCTAGGCGGTGGCAGAAGGCGGGCTCATCTTCTTCAACATTGGCGCGTAAGCTTCCCGCGCAAACTCGCGCGTAAGCGCCCTCGCTTCCAATGCGGCGGGCTGCGCTGGCGGCCCGCGTAAGCCGCCGCGTAAGGTCGCTGGGTCACCTCGCGTAAGACCTGCCTCTTTTCGTCGCCCACCTCCCAAGCAGGACGGGCACCACGCCGCCCGCAGCAGCGGCTGCTTGGCGCCGCCGCCTCTGGACGCGGCCGCCTCCGCCTCCGCCGCGCGGTCTGCGCGGCGCGGCGGAGGCAGACTGGGCGGTTCTCGGCAGTGCATCGCCGATTCCAATCCCTATTGGTCACGGTCTCAGCCTTCCAGGTGGGGTCCGAGTAGCCAGATTGGGTCGGAGGAGCGCGCTGCAACGCCGATGCATCGCCGATGCGGCTCGACGTGGAGCCAGGTTTTCTCCACGTCAACGGCACCGATGCATCGCCGACGTCGCCGATGCGTGGCCAACGCATCTGCCATGCATCTGCGCTGCGGCACTCCTTCGACCACAACTGTTCGGACCCATTCGGACCCCATCTGGGAGGCCCCTAAGCGGGCCATGGTAGGTCAGCCCAACCAGGCCACCGTCGATGTGGGGATAGCTCCTGCGAAGCTCGCAGGGAACCGCACATATGTTCCCGGGCTCCTGGCCCGCGGCCATTCCCTCTCCCCCAGATGGTATGGGTCCCAGGACCCCGCGCCCCCCCGCCCCAGATGGGAGGGGGAGGGGGGGGGGACGACGACGACGACGACGACGACGACGACGACGACGCCGACGACGACGACGACGCCGACGACAACGACGACGACGACCTCACCCTCCTTGAAGCACTGCTACACCGCGAAGTTTCCACGGCAGCACCACCCCACACCCACAGGGGGAGGACCCATCGGGGGGGGGGGGCAGCGATCCCACTAGCACAAGGGAGCCGGGCCGGGCCCTGGACCGTGCATCCTCAGCTATCGGGGTAAGTCGGCCAGTGGGGCGAAGGCCATGCCAGTGGGGATACAGTGGAAGCCCATGCCAAGGAGCACCCTGCTTGCATCCTGGGTGTCCTGGGTTTCTTGGGTCTCGATGGCTTGGCCATGGCAAGCGTGGCGTTCCCACACCAAAAATCGACGAACGTGCTGGTGTCTCAGGGTTGGGTTTCTTCTGGAGGGTTTCTTGTGGACTGGCCTGCTCTTATCTAGTGCCCTCACCTTGCGACGACGACGACGACGACGACGACGACGACGGAGACGACGACTGGCCTCCACTGTGAGCATCGGTCCAGCGCTGCTCCGAGGCAGCCTCGGCGGCCCCGCCGCCGGCTCGGCGGCCCTCGCCGCAGGCCTCGCCGCGGCCTGCGCCGCGGCTCGCCGGCGCAGCGCGCCGGGCGCGCGCGCGCCGGGCGCGCGCGCGCCGGGGCCCGGACCGGCCCCGGCCGACCTCGACGGCGTCGTCTTCCGAGATGTCGTTTTGGGAGGAGGGCAGAGGGTGAAGTCTGAAATGCCGTGTCGATGGGTTTTCGAGGCTTGAAGCTGCAAAAGGTGAATCACAAGACGGATTGATTTTCGAGGTGCGGAAGCCCACATGGATTTCACCCTGAGCCCTCCACCCTAAGAAAGTCCTCAGTTCCTTCGAAGACGAAATCCCAGGAAGGCAAGTATCGGGTTGGGAGGATGGGTTTGGGAGAAGTGAGGGTATCCTTACACGTAGGCGGCCGAAGGTATCGTTCATTGCATCCAGATGCTATTGCTCATACCCTTCATTCTTCCAACCCCTTCCTCCCAACACGATAATATAATTGTTCTCCTCAGAACCGCCTGGGCCTGGACCCGCCCTGGCCGACCTCGAAGGCGTCTTCTTTCGAAGACGAAATCGGGGGCGGGGTGTTGGGGTGGAGACCTAGATCCCTCGAGTCATGAAAAAATCACGACGGGAGGTTTTTCGCTACTTTCGGCCCCCGGGGGCCCCTACTGGGCCTCGGGACCGTCAAAAAAGGATTCAGGATGAAAAACCGGTCCCGGGGAATGGTCAGGAGGGGAAAAAACACACAGACACAATTCATCGGCGACTCCCAGAAACATGTGGGAAAATATTGGAAGTGGGGGTGAAGACTCAAACCCAGAAAATATGGGAAATATGGGAATCCTGGATTTGTGCGTATTTACTTGTGTGTGTCCCTGGGCCCCTTTAATTAGGTCGAGACCTCTGGGGGTCGACGTCATGAAACAATCATGACGTCGGGGGTTTGGGTAGCATGACCTGTGCCATGGTGGATGACCAGGGTCACAGCTCCAAAACATCAGGGCTGAGGGTGGTCAGGGCTAGCTATACGTAAGTCGGACCTGTCCTTCTGAAAGGATTACTATTTAAGATTGTCAAGTAATAGTATGGGGACGAGTTTTCGATATTGTTTTAACTATGTTTGGGTATCTTTTGACAATTCAGAATTTGTCGTCCAAAATCCGCCTGTAGAGAGACATACCCGACGTAAGGCTAGCTATACTGATTCGTGCCGCGGGGGCCCAAACCAGAGCTGCCCCGGACCAGATTTGTCCCAGATGGTTCGGGCGTCCAACCACTCCCGAATCGTCTGGGCTGGGGGATAATTCCTGGTATGTGCGTTGCAGGTCCAAACCAGAGTTACCCATGACCGGAGTTACCCCGGATAATTCTGGCGTCCAATAGGGGTGGGTGGATATCATGACCGGGGTCATGGTATCTCCCCAAATCTCATGGCGCCTTTTTTTTTGTAGTGCTCTCCCTATCACTCCCCCGTGGCCGCGCACATGCCTCGAGCAATGATTTGCGAACTCCCTCGTGTACGCCCCCGAGGAGAAATCAGCATAAACATTCACTGTCGACGGTCCGCGCTGCTCTCTTGGACCTGCGATGGGCCCACCTGGCGGCGTCTCAGGCGCCGCCCCTGGTGCGCTCCGCGAGCCAGGGCGGGGGCTCCAGCGCTGGTCCGAAGAATTTGCGCGGACGTCCGAAGGTTGCTATTCACACAGATTTGAATTACCCCGACTCTCATCTTGGGGTCAGGGGCGAAGACCGGGCGGCGTCACATCTGTGGTCGGCGCGGCCCCAGGAGATCGTGCGATGTCAGTTGGCCAAACCACCGAGGCCAGCCGTGTCCTGACCCCAGGATCGGTGTGCACGCCTTCCTTCGAAGAAAAAACAACGCCATAAACGTAAGCTTTTGGCGCTCCGCGCGGATCTCGTGGATCTGCGCTGGACCCCCCCAGCGGCGCCTCCGGCGCCGCCCCTGGCGCGCTCCGCGCGCCAGGGAGGGGGGTCCGGCGCAGATCCAAGAAATCCGCGCGGAGCGCCAACAGTTCATGTTGATGCCGTTTTTTGTTTCTTGCATTCCTGGCCAAGCCTCGAGGGCGTTCGCACCGATCCTGGGCCCAGGATGGGCCCAGCCACAATCGGGGCGTTGGTCCGTTGACATCGCCCGAGAAGAGCAGGGTAGCCATCCGAACAGGCTGAAGCTTGTGAGTGCTCCCTCGTCCTCGGGTTTCCTATAGCCGATGCCGCTGCGCAGTTTCTACGGGATGCGTCATGGGACAGCTTCGTTTTTCGATGGCTGCTTCTGGCTCGAGGCCGCCTCGCAGAGCAGAGGGCCCAGAACAGACGAGGGTTCGGCAGCGGATCAGGGGAGCCTGGCATACCCTCCCAGCTCCGACTTTAGCGTCGATTAGCGTCTCGGAGTCGGTGAGATAGCGCCGATTTAGCGTCGTCGGTTAGCGTCGATTTAGCGTCGACTTAGCGTCGATTTGGCGGCGATTAGCGTCGACTAGCGTCGACGAGCGTCGATTCGCCAGAGCCGACAAGATGGTATGGGAGGCTCCCACGAGTTGCCCTCAAAGGGGGGGTGTCTTCGGGGTCGGTGGTCGGCCCGCGCGGCGGTGAAGGGCGCAGGAGGGGCGGGCGCTACGGGCGCGCTGCTGACGGTGGCGCTCTACGCCGCAAACGTAGGCTTCAACGTGCTGAACAAGCAGACGCTGACTGCGGTTCCAGATTTTCCAGTCTGGAACACCGTGCTGCATTTCGGGGTCGGCAGTTGCTTGTCGTTGGCCGCATGGGCTCTCAGATTGCAGCGACCGCCAGCCTCTTTGAGCGCAGGAGCTCTAGAATGTATATCCCCACTGGTGTTCTTGCACTGTGTCGCAATATTGTTTACGAATTTGGCCGTGGCTAAGGTGAACCTGTCTCTTGTGCATACCATCAAAGCGGCGGAGCCGTTCTATGCAGCGTGTCTGTCTTTTTTAGTGTTGGGGATCGTTCCCTCAGCCGGTGCATTAGGATGCTTGGCGCTGATCGTGTCTGGCGTGATGATGGCTTCTATTTCTGAGGTGTCATTCACGTATGTGGGTTTCTTGGCCGCCATGGGATCGAATCTGGGCTTCTGCTTGAAAAATGTGTTGAGCAAGAAGCTTCAGGCAGATGCACGCGTGGACGAGCTGAACCTAATATCACTGCTCACGCTTGGATCATTGTTCGTGGGTCTGCCTTTTGCGATTTGGCGTGAAGGTATGAACCCTCCTTTCGGTGACGCTGTCGTGCTGGTGCGTGGTGTATCCGCAGGGGTCCTGTTCCACCTGTACCAGATCGCGTCCGTCCTGATGCTATACCGTGCTTCTCCCGTGACGCACAGCGTGATTAACATCGTCAAACGCCCAGTTCTAATAGTGGTTTCGATCGCATGGTTTGGCACTCCAGTCGGATGGAGCAATGGACTTGGGCTTGGATGTGCGTTGTTGGGTTGCTATGCTTATAGCTTTTCGAAGCGCTGAGGCACGTTGGCTTTGGAATCAATGTCTGTGTATGCGCGATTTGGTGTGGGAGTACAGTGCTACTGTCCAGGATTACAGAGTGCTGCAAGCCTTTCGCATGCCTCTCTTTTGGCGTCAGCGGCGAAGAGGGGGTTCGTTGCATATACAGCGCAGGGATACATTGAGCCCGTCCGAAGAACACCGTAGGCGTCGACGAGCAAAGGCTGACAATCAATTACGCTTCTGTGTCCTGCATTCGGCTACCGCGGTTGTTGGGCAAGTTGGCGCGCTGGTGGCACGATCGTCACATTCTGAGTCGATTTCGACCCCATATGCTGTCTAGTTTGTTCGGCACGTTAGATACAACTGGGTCTTCAGCGAGAGAGCCCTGCAGTGCAAATATACATGGTCTGCACACGGCATTGGATCATGTGCGATGCAGGCGTCAGCGTTGACATTGACGTTGGGCTGCTAAGCAGATACCCATAGCCGTGCGATACCCCACGGAGCAACAGCAGCAACAGCAGCAAAGATAACAGGACATGGCGTATGTACCGAGGAGCATCATGGTAAACCGAGAGCAGCTGAGTTGTGTTGGCTGGGAGTGGGTTGAAGGATTGTGTAGGAAGGGAAGAAGGACGGATATAAGGAGGATGAGGACAAGAGCGCAGGTAGTTCGACAAGGGAAGATCACGGCGCCGATTGCCAGGTGCACGACATTGTTTTGACATCTTTGGTTTGATCCTTTTGGGTGCACCGGGAAGAGCATGCGTCAGGGAGTTGCCAGTGCACGTCCCATACATCACCGACGTCTTGATTATTCCCAGCGCTGGGGTCCAGGAGCTCTCGATCTTATCTTTCGCATGAGTTTTTCTCGGCGCACTGATTCTGTCGGCCCCAGCAGTTGACGTGGGTCTCCGCTTGCCCGAACACAGGTATACGATGATACGCACATCTTTCTTGAGTTGCGTTTGCCGTTGGCGGTCTGGGGGTTCAGCGTGCCCTGCAGAGTGCTTCGGCTCGCGTGGAGACGTGGAGAGGGAGGGGAAGGCCGCGTCGCTCCGCAGCTCCGATCTGGGCGTGCTGCTGCCCAGGCCGCGCTGCGCCGCCGCATCACGCCACGTCTGTTACCGAAGATGTCCGGCGCATCGTCTCTCTCTCTCTCTCTGTCTGTCTCTGTCTCTGTCTTTGTGCCTCTCTCTCTCTCGCTCTCTCTGTCTCTGTCGTGCCCTCTCTCTCTCTCGCCCTCTCTCTCGCCCTCTCTCTTCAGCTTGCTCTCTTTCTTTCTCTATTTCTCCCTTTCTTTATTTATGTATTCTCTCTCTTTTTTTTGTTCTCTCTCTCTCTCTCTCTCTTTCTGTCGCTAAGTATCCGTCTCTCTCTCTCTCTGCCTCTCTCTCTGTCTCTCCAGACGGGCGGGGGTGAGCAGAGAGCGGAGGAGGACGATGAGGAGGAGCGTGTGTGTCTTTGTTTCGTTGTCGTTTGTCGCGCCGCACCTCGTGCGGCTGTCATCGGTGGCGCGCCCGATCTTCGGAGGAGGGCGGTGACAATGATTAGGGGAACGCGGTGAGGATTGGGTAGGGCTTCTTGGTCCAGGAAGTGCGAAGGATGGGGACAAACATAATATGCAGAGATGCTGAGGGCGACAGTGCAGGGTACGGACTACGGAACCAAACCAGTCGCCCTTGGGACCCCGTGGGATGCCTCTTGGGACCTTTCTGGCCCGTTCTCCGCCAGCCTCTGGAACGATCAGGCGAACACGCGCTGGGAGCCGTGTCACACCTCGGAGCATGCGCGTGAATTTTGGTCCTGGGCCTCTCGATCTGCAATCCTCAGGCCCGTTGACAGAACATTCCGATTATGAGGACGTCTACGAGTGACACTTGAGGGTTAGGGCAGTTGCTCTATGAGGACGTGGCTTGTCCCACGTCGGTTTGCGGCTCTTCGGCCACGACCTTCGCGGGTGTCCGACGCATCAGTCCACTCCCGTGTCCACGACAAGGGGAAAGGCTACCCGGATGCCCACCTTTTTACACGCAGCGACTTTCCGACTCGTGCCTCGCGGCACGGCGGCGGATACCACTGAAAACGCTAGCCCGGTCGTGAGTTTGCCGTGACCAATGAATCTGGAGGTCGCAAAGGGGTGTGGTATAACGGGGTGCGGTGCCCATGCTGAAAATGGCGATGCTATCTACGATATCCGCAAGTGCGTTGCATCCCCACTTCAACGATGTTGGCTTGACGCCACTTCACGCTCGTGTACTGCTCTGCATCTTCAGGGGACCTTTCCTGTCCTGGAAGTGGCAGTCTTTCCACGTATTTCGACGCGGGTCCGACGCAGAGTCGACGTGACGTGCATCCGACACGAATTCGACACGGATTTGAGGCGGGCTGGACACGGATTCCACGTTCGTCATGGGTTTGACATGGATGCGACACGGATGGCTGGCGCGGACTGCTTCGGGTGCCCATGTCGGTGACAACGGAGAGGCGCGAAGAGACCATGGGTCAACCATAAAAGGCTGTCGTTGCTTGTGGCCATCTAAAGATGGCCGCACGCGACGAAGGTTTTATGATTGCGTGGTCACTTCAAGTGGCCACTTCAAGTAGCCTGAGACACATAGCTTTCTTGTGGCCACGTGGAGTGCCCACAATACACGGAGCCCCAACTTGTCACTCTCCAGGAAAGGTTTGGGAAGCATTTGTGGCGCTCATAGGGGTTATCTTGGGACTGTGTTCGGACAAAGGCGGCGTCAATTTGCGTCGCCCCGTCGTAGCCAGAAAAGACGGCTCTTAAGGATCCCATCAGGACGCTCTTGAGACGCTCTCGGCAATTTTCGGAAAGGCCTGCCGTCGTGGTCCCCGCTGTCGCCTCCTGGCAGCCTCCGACACCGAACAGGTACTCAAGCGCGCGTGCGCATGCGATCGTCGCCGTGGTCGTCGCCGTCCCCCACGACGACGACGCCACCGCCGCCGCCGACGACGGCGACGACGACGGGACGACGGTGGCGACGACGACGACGACGGCGGCGGCGGCGGCTGCTGCGCGGTCGAGGCCCGCGGCCTCGGATCAGCCTGGATGGGTGATCGTGTGTGAAGCTGCCCTTCTGCCTTTCTCCCTCCAGCCTCTCTCCCGCCTCTCTCCTGGATGAATGGGGAAGGGGAAGAAGAAGGAGGAGGAGGAGGATCCTCCTGAGCGTGGAGCAGCATCACTGCGCAGGAGCACGGGCATCCATGCTTGCCCGCCGTGGAGCCACGGGTCATGCCGCTACTCGGCAACAGGCGTCGTGTAGTTTTGGCACGTGCTTCCGAATTTTCGAACCATTTACAGATGTGGTGCGGCTTGGGGAGACGATGATCTAATTTTTCTTCAAGTGCCACTCTGTGTCAGCGTGCACCCCAAACAGAACGCGATTGCCGTGTAAGCTAAGTGGTGAACGCTATGTCGTGTAAGCTATGTGGTGTGAGTTCAGGAGGTGCAATCTGTGCGGGGTAGGCGATCTGATGTGAGCTACGTGTCTCGTGAGCTGCGCGACGTGAACGGGAGATGGACGCGATGGGGGGTGCGAGCCTTGCGATGAGAACTGTGCTGCCGGAGCTGTGCGGTGTAAGCTCTGAAGTGGGAGCTATGCCGTGCAAGCCGCGAGCCGGGGGCGCCCGCGCGGCGTCCACGGGCCGGCACGGTCGGAAGCGTGGCGCAGCCTCGGGGAAGCCACGCGGCGCACGCGATGCCCACGAGGCACCCGCGAGGCACCCACGAGGCGGCAGCGTGGCTCAGCCTCGGGGATACCACCCAGCGCGCGGGGCGCCCACGAGGCGGCCACGAGGCGGCAACGTAGCGAAAACGCTGAGAAGCCATCGAGTCACTTACGGAGCCCAATCAAGAACCCCCGGGTGCAAGCTCTGTTTGGGGAACGTGTTGGTGCTTCGTGCGCCATTTCCTGCAATTTTGCTTGTCGAAGCCATGACATTTAGGATGTAGGATGTGGCGGAAGTGACCACCAGAGAATTTCACCCGTGCGCCAGTAATACAGACACATGTATGGATGTTTTTATATGTACACACATGTATCTCCCCAGACGTCAGATGGTTTGATTTGTTCCAGGCGCGGCCCCTGGAGGCCTCGACAACTCAAAGGGACAATGCTTCATCCTGGGCATTCTGCAACAAAAACCTGACTTGATGTTTCTCGGGACGTTGGATGGCTGGGTTCCTCGCCCCTCCTCCTCGCCCTCCTCCCCCCCCTCTCCGCCCCAGAGACGCAGGCCCGAGGGTCGACTTCGGCGGCCCTGGGGAATACCCTGAACAACAGTAGAAGGCAGTGCCGAATGAGGCCGATCGCAAATCCCAATGGACCCAACGCGCCCCGAAAAGAACCCCCATGACGACGCTCTCCGACGCTACGTCGGCACAAAATTTTGCACGTTTCAGGGACGAGCGTTGTCTATTTCTGTCAGCATTGCAAGAGGTCGTTGCCAAAAGACGCAGCCAAAATGGCCCGAGGCCGTTCTCAAAATGACCCCGAACGTTGCCGAACGGACCCCGATCTGATCCCGAACGTTGCCAAGCGGACCCCACACGGATCTAATGCTTTGCGAAGCGGACCCCAAACAAACCGCAAACGCGCCCAAACGCATACCAAATTGGCCTCGCACGTTGCCAATCGTTGGGCATATTTGAAAAATAAATGTTCAGATGATGCTATCAGCTTCGAGAGCATGTTCCTCAAGTTTGACAAAATTCTGAAACCTGGAAATAATGCCAAAACTCTCCACCGAGCCTTGAGGAGCTGACGGCATTGCTGACGGCATTTCAGACGACATCGGGACCCAACAGTTTCCAAACAGACCCCAGGTTGACCCCAACCGTTGCCAAATTGACCCCGAACCGACCCCCACACGTTGCCAAACGGAACCCATACATAGCCCAACCCCAATTTGATTCCACGCATTGCCTATCGAAGACGCCTACGGCGAATCACCGCCGCCCCCTGCCCCTTTGGAAGCGCCTTTTGTGGCTGACAGCTGTGGCAGAGCTTGGCCAGGCTATCGGGCCAGTTGTTCCCCGAGTCGGTTTGGAAAGATTTCGGGGAACGCATGGGCGAGCAAGAAGAGGAGGAGGGGGAGGATGAGGAACCAAGAGGAGGAGGATGAGGAGGAGGAGGAGGAGGAGGAGGTGGAGGCCTCTTAGGCGCCTCTTGGGGCTCTCTTGGGGCCTCCTGGGAGCTTCCTGGGGGCATCTTGGAGGGTTTTGGGGGGCCTTTGGGGGCTTCTTGGGGGCCTCTTTGGCCGTCTTAGGGCGTTCCTGGTTTGTCTGACGCCGTCGGAAGCCGTCTTGGGGGCCTGTCTGTGTCGTCTTGGGGTCCTCTTATATGTTCTTGAACGGTTTGAGCTTGGGCTTTTTGAATTCGGTGATGTCAGTACCTGCTAAACGATCCAAGGAAGTTTAAACATCGGGATGCTTTCTCTCACTTGTCCCCGCTCTCCCCTCCATAGCCTGTCTTCGGCTTCAGGACGGGCGGCGCGCCCCATGCTCGCCTCTGGCGTGCCCGCGGCGCTGCCGGCCTTGTGCGTGGCGCTGATCGCTGGTCTTGGCTGGCGGGCGAGTCCACCACAGCCTGGGCCCGAGCCGCCGAGCGAGGTTCCCTTGTGGCTCGACGGGGTCGCCGGCGCTTGCGTCGAGGCTTCGTCGGCGGCGCTGCGCGCCGAGGCCGCGGCTCGTGCGTTCTCGGAGCGCGCGGCCGCGCCACCGCCGCCTCCGCCGCCGCAGGGGGGCGACGGCTGCGTCTGCCCCGAGGTCGGCGACGGGCTGAGCGCCGAGGCGCTGGCGCTGCATCTGCTGGTGAGCCTCCTCTCGCCGCTGTGGATCGCGTTGGCGGATAAGTGCTTCAACTGCTGCCCGCGCCGCCTGTGGCCTAGGCACAATGTCGCGCCGGCGCGGACGCCTGGCGGCCCTGCCCCCGTTGCCCGCGGGGGAGGGGTGGTGCGCTGATCTTCCCAGCGGCGCTCGCGCACGGGTGAGCTACGACGGCGACGTCATGGACCATGAGCGCGTCGTGGTTTGGCCCTCGCGGCGAGTCGAGGATGGCGAGCTGGTGGACCCGCACCTCTACTGGGTCCTCTCGCCAGATGGTGACCTGTGGGAGGAGCTGCTCTCGGGGGCCTCGCCCGCAGATGGCCCCTCGGGTGGTGAGCGCATCGCCAGCGGTGGGGCCCCGCCTGCTGACGGTCGGAAGCTCTACAGCTTCCGCGAGCAGCCGTCCCTCGCCAGGCTCGTGGAGTTGGCCGACGAGTGCCGACTAGCGATGGAGGCCCGCGGGCAGGTTGCTGCCGATGGGCCCGCCCATGTGGAGCTCGCCTCGGGTAGGCTGCTGGATGGCGGGGACGTCTTCCCGTGGGCCGCGCCGACGCGGCCCCCGCATCGCCTCCGCGGGAAGCAGGCGCCGCCGGTTGCCGACGGCGGAGCGGGCGGCGCTCTGGCTGACGCTGCCGCGGGCTCGCCCACGCCCCCTCTTGAAGGGCATGTCTGGGCGCTGGCCGAGCCCGTGGCCGACCTGGACATCGGCGCGATCGTTGACCCGTCGAGCGAGACGCTCATTGGCGCTGGAGTGGACGCTCTCTGGCTTCGGCGGGGCCGGGCGCTTCGTCTGGAGCTGATGCCGCGGTGCGACGTGGCGGGCTGGAGGTCGCGCCGCGTTGCCGAGCTGAGTCGCCTTCTGGAGGCGGCAGCTCCTGCGGCGGTGCCCGGCTCCTCCCCGCCTGACGGTGCCCTGGATGACGCCGCCGCCAGTGGCGCTGAGGGCGCTCCCGCCCCAGATGGTGCTCCGTCGGCTGTCGCTTTGGCTAGCGCCGCTAGCGACGACACTCGCGCTCTCTGGGTCGAGTGGGACGACCAGGGCGAGCGATACAAGGAGTTCAGGAAGGCCGCGAACGAGTCGTTGAGCTATGACTGGGGCCACCAGCGTTTGGAGGGCGGCCTGACGTGCGTGCACACCTGCAAGATGATGTACCGCACGGCAGGCACCCCTCGGGCGTGGCTCGAGAAGTTCTTGCGCGATAAGAACATCGTTCCCACCGACCGCGTCGCCCATGAGCTTCGGCCGCTGGTGGAGGCGCTCGAGGAGGCCGGGCCCTTCGACCAGGTTAACCTGGGGGGACTTGCCTGCCTGGAAGTGATCGTGCGCCGGCTCAACGCGATCGTTGACGCCTACAAGCGCGCGGGCGCCCCCTCGTTCGCCAACGCCAAGTACTTGGCTCCACTGGGCGAGGCTGACGAGCTGATGGCGCCCTCGCTGAGGAGCCACGTCTCCCGCCGCGCTAAGGAGGACTGGGAGGTCGAGCAGTCTATGAAGAAGGCCGAGGCGGTGGATGCTCGTGTGACGTCGGGTTCTGCCGCAGCCCATCATGGCGCTGATGGTGCCACCACAGGGACCGGCGGTGGGGGCAAGGGGCGAGGTCGCGGCGGTCGTGGTCGCGGAGGTCGCACCCCAGGGCTCCCCCCGCCGGTCCAGTCATGACCGAGAAGGCACAGCCGGGGGAGTGGGCCCCCCCTGGCTGGCACCACAACCTGGCCCGCGCCTCGCCGCTGCCGCCGTCCGATTTTGAGGGAGACCTTTTTCCCGTGCCGATGATGATGGCGCCGGGCGACTCCGCTCGGGGACGCAGGTCTCAGCGTGGGACCCATGCTCGGCAGCATGAGGTGGAATTGGTGAATCGCGCCCTCCGCAGCTTGAACTGGCTGGCGGGCTTCGAGGGCGCGGCTGCTTCACCGAGTCCAGGCGTGACAACCCTGGACAAGCATGCGGCCCTTCAGCAGCACCTGCTTCGTGAAGCTCATCGGCGACAGGCCGCAGCTCCGGAGGTGATGCCGAAGGCGGAGGCAGCCCTGAGGGAGCAGCTCCGGGGGCAGTCCGTATACGAGACGGACTCTGCCCCAAGGAACCTCGTCTCCTACCAGCCCGGCAAGGCCTCGCTGCCCAATATCGTGCTGGACTGCCGCTTCATTGAGGACATCGCGAGCCCTGGGTGCCGCTCGTTCTTGGAGGAGAATCACAAGCGAATGAGGTTGGAGCCGGAGACTGTGGACTTCGACAGCATGCCGCGGTTGTACATGGACCCAGTGTTGAAGAGGAATTTCAAATCTTATCGTACCTTCTTGCGAGATCTTGCTGGACGTGGATTTCTGGGAGTAACCGCCAGACCCGCCGAGTCGGCGGGCCTGTTCTTCGTGGCTAAATCAAACGGGGCTCAGCGTATGATAATCGATGCTAGGCGAAGCAACGGCCACTTCAGAACGCCGCCAGGTGTGCAGCTTCTCAGCAGCGAGGGGTTCGGCCGGATCGAGATAGAGTTGCCGCTGGGTGTCTTGCCCTCATCAGTTGAGGGGCAGCGGCTTCTGGATGCCTTCACTGTCTACGTGGCCACCACCGACGTGAAGGACTGCTTCTACCGAATGCGCGTCCGCGAGGACCTCGGCCGCTACTTCTGCCTGCCCGCCGCCCCGAAGCACGTGCTCGATGGGACTCAGGTGGCCGGCGTCCCGGCGGATGCTCCGCCGGACGCCCCCGTGCGGCCCTACCTCGCCGTGCTTCCGATGGGGTTCACGTGGTCGCTGCGCCTGGCCCAGGCCGCGAATGAGGACAGGGTGCGCCGTGGCCCCAGCCTGTGCAAGGCGATGCCAGCTGACAGACAACAGCCCTTGATTCAGGATCAGGCCGAGGCTTTTGTGCTACGCGCCGCCTCGCGCGGGGTCGGAGGTGCTTACGTGCACGTGGACAACCTTGGCGCCGTTTCGGACGATGCCGACCTCAGTGACAGGATGGTCTCCGAGTGGAGCGACTTGTTCGAGCCGGTCGGCCTGGCGCTCCACAAGTCAGATTCCCACGGCGGCGCTGGCGAGGCTCTCGGCACTGAGCTTGACGGCGCTCGCCTTCGCTCGGGGATCACCTCGAGCCGGTTTTGGAAGCTCGAGCGGGGCTTGACTGGCTTTCTCGCTCGGGGGCGTTGCAGCGGCCAGGCGCTTGAAAAAGTGATCGGACATTGCACTTTCTGCGGTCTAGCTGCCCGTGAGTCCCTTTCTACCTTCCACACCGTCTATAAGTTCATGTCGGTTCAGTCTTTTGACGCGGGCTCAATGTGGCCCGAAGTGGTCGAGGAGCTCGTGGCTTTTAGAGGGGCCCTTTTGCTTCTGGGCCGCGACTGGTGGCTGCCGTGGAACCCCTGGAACCCCTGCGTTTTAGAAACCGACGCCAGCCTAGCGGGCTGGGCGATGGACCAAAGTTTGAGCCGTCTCAGGTCGCCGGCGTCGGTCGTGTCAGTGAGCGTTCCCGTTTCAAGCGTGTCGGTGCTCACTCCGCTCGGGAATCCGCACTCACCTCTGCCCGCCTCTTCCGCGACGAGTCAGGCGAGTGGAGAAGCCAGCTTTTAGGAGACGAGCCTCAGTTAGGCGACTGGGAGGTCGCTGCGGATTTTCCCAAAGTCCCCTGGCAGCTTCTCCGAGGCTCGGCCTGGAAAACCGTCCGGAAGGGAGTTTGGGGCCTTAGCGAGGGCATTTTGGTGCTGGAGGCCCGGGCCTTGGTGAAGGCCATCCGTAGGCTCGCCAGGACCAGGCACGGGCCCTGCATCAGACAGCTTTTCTTGTGCGACAACATGGCCGTCTCTCTTTCTTTCGCTCGCTCGAGGAGTCAGGACTTCAAGCTCTTAGTCCAGATTCGACGCTTCAACGCCGATGCCCTTGCCCTTGGCATCGCCCCGTACTTTAGATGGATTCCCTCGGAGTTTAACCAGAGCGATGCCGGGAGCCGCGATCACTCAGAAGTTTCGTCCAAGTTGCTAACCGATGTCCTGGATCAGCAGGTTAGGATCTCTGCTCCTTCTTCTCTCTCTCCCCTCCGTAGTCGTTTCGGCTCAAACTGTAGTCAGGTTTTCCTCGCTTCCGTGCCCGAGGAGTCTGTTCCGACGGATGCGTGCTCGGGCGCTGCGGCCGCCGCGGGCTCCGGCGCAGGCGAGTTCTCCAGCGCCGTCGCGAGTTCTGCCGCGACCTGGCGTCGGCCCGCCGCCCTGCCGGAGAGATCCACCGACAGCGAAGGCGAAGTCGAGAGTGCTGGCGGGGCCCCAGGTGACGACGGAGACGCGTGGTCCCAGAGCCCGCCCCGACGCGAGGACAAGGGGCCATGGCGCCCGCTCGGTCAGGGCACGCTTGGAGAGCCGCCTTCGCCAGCCGCCGTTGCCGCCCCCTGTGGCGCTCGAGGACCTCGCCCCCGCGGCCTGCGCTGGCGACGACGAGGCGGGCGCCGGGGAGGAAGGCGAGTCGAGTGGGTCCGACAGCGTGGTGAACCACGCGACTGCGGCCGCGAGGAGATCTCGACGCCTCCAGGACTCCCGGCGCCGACGCCGCGCGGCCCTCTACACGGACATGATCATGCAGACCATGGCCGGTGGGCCCACCTTGCTGGAGCGACTGGCGGTGACTCGCCGGACGAGGGAGCGCTATGCCAAGTATCTCGATCGTTTCTACTCGCATGCCGGCCTGACCGACGACAAGCTCGCGAGGAGCTCGGACGAGACCGTGGATTGCTGGGTGTGCGACTACTTCACCGCGATGTACCTGTCCGGGGAGCAGAGCAGCCTGGGGGGCCAGACTGGAGCCGCCCTCATCGACCGACACCCAGCTTTCGGCCGACGGGGCGGGAGAGCCCTGCCGCGGACGTGGCGAGCGCTCAAGGCGTGGGGGCGGCTGACGCCCTCGCGCACCCGCCGAGCGCTGCCGCTCGCCGTGTGGTCAGCAGTGATGTGGCGGCTGGTGGACAAGGGCCTCCCGTTCATGGCCTTGTTCTTGGCCGCGGGCCTCTCTGCTTATTCAAGGCCCTCTTCCCTGCTGGCAGCCCGCAAGTGCGACCTGGTCCCGCCTTCGCGCGCGACAGTGGACAGCTGGAGCCCTCTGACGCACCCAGAGGAGGAGGGCAGACCAAGCAAAACGAATCGCTACGACGAGGGCTGCCTCCTGGACTCGAGTTACCTCCGGGGGCTGGGTCCACTGTTCGCCGAGCTCAGAGGGCACGGAGACAGGACCAAGCTGTGGCCTTTCACGTACCTGGAGCTCTCGCAGGCGGTGCAGCTGGCAGCGGCCGAGGTCGGGGCTGGCAAGCTGACACTGCATCAGCTCCGCCACTCAGGCGCGAGCATCGACGCCAGCAGGCGCACGCGCAGCCTAGAGGAGATTCGAAGGCGCGGCTGCTGGGCTCAGGCGAAAAGCATGCACAGGTACGAGCACAGCGGCCGTCTGAGCGCCGAGTACGAGCGCTTTCCCGCGGACCAGAGACGCCTGTACGAGGCTTGCGAGGTCCATCTGATGAGGATCATGCTCGGGCACGCTCACCCAGTCCAGTTCAGCCGTCGAATGCTGACCTGGCAGTCGCGCGTGCCAAGCTAAGGCGGAGCTTCCGTGGCTGTCGCGAGAGACGCCTCGCTGCGCAGCGTTTCGGCTTCAGAGGCCAGTATGTAGCAGATTTCTTCGCGGGAAGCCGTTGCATCTCGCGAGCAGGTGATAAGGTAGGCTTTAGAACACGCAGCTGGGATGTAGCCCGCGATCCAGTTTGGCAGAATCTTGTCGATCCAAAGGTCCCCAGGGCGATCCGACGCGACGCCCGTCGGGGCCTTATCCTTGCAGCAGCTTTGGCCCCTCGTGCCAAACTTTCTCCATCGCGCGAGATCGGACGGCAAAGATCCGATCCCAAGATATGCCCTGGGGTTTGCCCAGCCGGTTGCTCAGTGCACCAGGCCGAGAGAAACTCAAGGTAGGCAATCAGACTGCCCACGCCGCCATAGGCCTGTTCGCTCTTTTCCATCAGCTCAAGATCCCTGCTGTTCTTGAGCACCCATTCACCTCTCGTCTGTGGCACACCGCAGAGATCCAAGCTTTAGCCAACTTGCCGCATGTCAGCTTAGTCGAACTAGATCAGTGCCAATTCAGAGCCCAATGTAAGAAGCCAGCTCGCCTCATGTTCTGTCACGTAGCAGTCGACGATCTTAAGAATCTTCGCGGAAAATGCAGTGATCAGAGAGGACAGTGCTCGCGGTCAGGCTTGCCTCACTTTCAACTCGAAGGAAGCGCCCGCGCCCGTCCAGCGGCTGCCTACCCGCCTGAGCTCGCACACTGTATAGTTCGGGCACTCACAGCCGCTTGCGTTGCCACGTTCGGATACAATTCGACATCCCTCCCTTCCCAACCCGAGTGAACTCCCGTATTCGGGAAACTTGGGGAGGAGTGAGAGCGTGCATCGACTTTGACCTCTGGCCTGGACGTCTCGAGGCTTTCGTCAGATCCGTGCCCCTGCAATGTGAAAAAAAAAAAGAGTTGCTCTATATGTTCTTGAACGGTTTGAGCTGGGGCTTTTTGAATTCGGTGATGTCAGTACCTGCTAAACGATCCAAGGGAGTTTAAACATCGGGATGCTTTCTCACACTTTTCCCCGCTCTCCCCTCCATAGCCTGTCTTCGGCTCCCACCCTCCCACCCTGGGAGGAGTGAGAGCGTGCATCGACTTTGACCTCTGGCTTGGACGTCTCGAGGCTTTCGTCAGATCCGTGTCCCTGCAATGTGAAAAAAAGAGTTGCTCTGGGGCATATCAGGGGTTCTTAGAGGCCATCTTGGGCGTCTTGGGGGCCTCTTGGGCCGTTTTGGGGCCTTCTTGGGGCCGTCTTGGGAACCTTTTGGGTCGTCATGGGGCCATCTTGGGGGCCTCTTGGGCGATCTTGGGGGCATCTTGCGCCGCCTTGAGCCGTCGGAATGCCGACAAGGAGCAATTTCCAACATCTTTCAAAAACCTTAGGAACATCAGCGATTTTGGCCTCTTCGTGCCCTCCTGGAAGACCTCCTGGACGCCTTTCGGGCAGTCTTGGAGGCCTCTTGGGGGCCTCTTGGGCCGTCTTGGGCCATCTTGAGGCCATCTTCGGCCGTCTTGGGTGCATCTTGGGCCGTCTTGGATGCATCTTGGGGCCATATGAGCCGTTTTGGAGGCCATGGTGGCCGTCTTGGAGGCCTCTTGGGCCCTCTTGGGGCCGTCTTGGTGGCCTCTTGGGCCGTCATGGGGCCATCTTGGAGGCCTCGTGGGCGATCTTTGGGGCCTCTTGGGCCGTCGTGAGGCGTCGGAAAAATGTAAAATAGCAAATGCAGAAATCACCCCCGAAAAAAACCTAAGGAACCTCAATGATGTCGGCCTCTCCGGGCTCTCCTGGAGGACCTCTTGGAGGCGTCTTGGAGGCCTCTTGGAGGCCTCTTGGGCCGTCGTAGGCCATTCGGAGGCCATCTCAGGCCGTCTTGGGTGCATCTTGGGCCGTGTTGGAGGCATCTTGGGGCCATCTTGGCCGTCTTGAAGGCATCTTGGGAGTCTTAGAGGCTTCTTGGGCCGTCTTGGGGCCTCTTGGGGGAATCTTGGGGGCCTCTTGGGCCGTCATGGGGCCATCTTGGAGACCTCTTGGGCGGTCTTGGGGGCCTCTTGAGCCGTCTTGAGGTCTTCGGAAGGCCGAAAAGAAGCAAATGCCGCAACCTTTCTCAAATACCTGAGCAAAACTAATGATTTTGGCCTCTTCGTGCCCTCCTGGAAGACCTCTTGGAGGCGTCTTGGGGGGCTCTTGGGCACCTCTTGGGCCATCTTGAGGCTATCTTGGGCCGTCTTGTATGCATCTTGGGTCGTCTTGGAGGCATCTTGGGGCCATTTGAGCCGTCTTGGAGGCCATGGTGGCCGTCTTTGAGGCGTCTTGGAGGCCATCTTGGGCCGTCTTGGAGCCGTCTGGAGCAGGAAACACCTTTGCAACCACCTCTGGGCAATCTTTCCGGGTGGCCGGCGGGACGGGACGAAGCCCCAGGGGGAGTTCTCTTAGAACAAGAACCAAAACCAAAACCGACAGGGTCTAGCACGCCAGGCACCGGTGCGTTGAATCTACAGGGGGCGGCGGATCGAAGACGCATACGGCGAATCACCGCCGCCCCCTGCTCCGTTGAAAGCGCCTTTGTGGCCGACAGCTGGGGCAGAGCTTGGCCAAGCTATCGGCAGTTATTCCCCGAGTCGGTTTGGAAAGATTTCGGGAACGCATGGGGGAGCAAGAGAGGAGGCGGGGGAGGATAAGGAAAAACGAAAAGGAGGAGGCCTCTTGGGCGCCTCTTGGGCACCTCTTGGGGCCTCCTGGGAGCTTCCTGAGGGCCTCTTGGAACGTATTTTGGGCCTTTGGAGGCTTCTCGGGGGCCTGTTGGCCGTCTTTGGGCGTTCCTGGCTTTCCTGACGCCGTCGGAAGCCGTCTTGGGGGCCTGTCTGAGTCGTCTCGGGGTCCTCTTGGGGCATAGCAGGGGTTCTTAGAGGCCATCTTGGGCGTCTTGGAGGCCTCTTGGGCCGTTTTGGGGCCTTCTTGGGGCCGTGTTGGGAGCCTTTTGGGTCGTCATGGGGCCATCTTGGAGGCCTCTTGGGCCCTCTTGGACCGTCTTGGGGCCCTCTTGGGCCGTCTTGGGGCCGTCTTGGGGAGGGGACCTCTTGGACCGTTGTGGGGCGATCTTGGGGGGCTCATTGGGCCGTCTTGGAGCGTCGGAAAGCTGAAAAGGCGAGAAGGCTAAAACGGTGAGAGGCGGACCATTGCCAACATCACAATGCCCCCCCCCGTCCAACCACCCGTCCAAGATCGCAAGCGTCTTGCGGGCCCTCGTGATCATGCCGATATCTTTGCCGACCTAATCACCGGTTTTTTGAATCCACCTGCACTGCCAACAGATATGCACGCAGGTGCCCATAGCAAACACGAACGACAACATTCGGTATCGCGCCATACGCATGAGCCTTAGCAAGCACGAGCGACAATATTCGGTATCCCGCCATTGTTGGAATGACGACGAGGAGGAGGAAGAGGAGGGGGGGAGGAGGAGGAGGAGGAGGAGGAGGAGGAGGAGGAGGAGGAGTGACCATCTTTGGCCATCGTAGCCGTTTCGGGGGCCGTCTTGGACCGTCTTGGCGCCGCGTTGAAGCCCTAGTGTGGGCCTCTTGGGCAATATTGGGGCCATCTTGAATGCTAGTGCAAACCTCGAGATTGCGAGCAACAACCTCATGACTGTCGCTCCCCAGGGCCTGCTTTGCGACCCGCTTGCGGCCCGCCCCTGACCCGCACCCCGAACCGCCGCTGTCACGCGCATGGCTGTCGCATCCGTGCGGCAATGAGCTCCGCAGAGGGCCCCAACGGCAGGGTCAGCATGGCGGCCCCGCCTCATGTCGGCACACCCTCACACGCTCTGTGGCCCCATAATTACGGAGCGCCGCCGCAGGCTTCGGAGGCACCGTCCGCATGGCGGCCCAGCCATGTGGAATCAACCTGGAAGGATTTGATGCCGTAACAGCGCAGCACGGAACACATTCAATAGCTTTCCCACCGCGCGCGTTCGTTCACGCACCCAACATAAAGTAAGGCTGAACATCCGCGCAAAAGCAGGGCGGAAGCAGCGACGGAAAAGCAGGGCGGAAATGGACATCAACGGAAGTTGAAGAGTACGACGGAAAATTCCGCCCTCCTTACGAAATTGCTCCAATGTAGGGCGGATCAGGAGTCACGGCTGATGGGCGTGTTTTCCACCACCACCACCATAAGTTGGAGGGGGGAAGGAGGAGGAGGACGAGGAGGAAGAGAACGAAGAAGAGAAGGAGGAGAAGGAGGAGGAGGAGGAGGAGGACCCCCTCGCCCTCCAACTTATCGTGGTGGTGGTGAAAAACAGGCCCATAAAAGGCAGTGCACCGCGACGGAGGCTGGAAGCGTCCGCGGGGGCAGCCTTGGCAGCTGCGCCTGCGCAGGCCGTCGGCAGCTGCTCCGCGGGGGCAGCGGCCGCCCCGGGCCCCTCCGGCGGGATGGCTGGCGGAGAAGGCCGCGCGGAGCGTGGCGGCAGCCGCGCGGGCGGTTGCCGGCGGAAGCGCTGCCTCCGCGGAGGTGGCGTTTTCTTCTCCCTCCCCCCTTAGGGTAACAAAAAGTAACATAAACATACATAAACATAGAAACTCGGAGGTCCGCGCGGATTTCTCGGATCGGCACTGGGGCCCCCCGGCGGCGCCTCCGGCGCCGCCCCTGGCGCGCTCCGCGCGCCAGGGAGGGGGCCCCAGCCCCGATCCGAGAAATCCGCGCGGACCTCAGAGTTTTTATATTCATGCCACTTTTTGTTCCCCTATTCTTCTCCCTCCCCCCCGGCCTCTTGGCCGGGGGGTGCAGGGTCTTGGGTGCGTCGGTTTGGTGTCCTGCCACCGGTGCCCCGATGGTGCCCTGTGCGCGTGGGGGGTCCGCCCCCCCCCTCCCCGCGGATAGAGCGTCGTGGATCCCCAGGCTTCCGGCGCGCCGCGGGCGTCCGCGGCCAATGTGGTGGCATATCGGCGGATGGCGGACCCCCTCCCTCCCTGTCCCTCCCCCCCGCTCGGGTGGCGGCGGTGACGGTCTGGTTGGCGCCCCCTCTTCCTCAAGTTGCAGTGTGGGGTCTTGGGTTGAGGGCGGCAGTGTTGCACTGCCGCGTCGTTCTCAGAGCAGGCTGACAGCGCACGCCCTGGCCAAAGGCCGGGGAGCATGCGGCAAGGCCACAGTTTGCCTACTGCATGTTCGAGTTCCGGCATCTTGGACGTGCTGGCGGTCTTTGGGCCATCCCTGGTGGGAGCTGATTGGCATGACAGGTCGTGCCCCCCCCGTCTGCAGGGCTTCTTGGGCCCTCGAACGTGCCTGGGGCCTGGGCCGTGGGTCCATCCTCGGGGCCCGTTGGACCGTCCTGGGCGCCCTGCACCCTCGAGAGGGACAACGCGAGAGGGCGCAACCCAGTTGCCTCGATACGCCCGTTTTGAAACGCAACACGTGCCATGTTCAGGACGTCCGTGTCAATACGTTGCGTGTTGGTTCCACGTAATGTCCAAAACGGGTTAAAACATATGACCCCCCCGGATCCCGACGGCCATTAATTCGCATCCGAATAACTATTTGTTTTATCTGTCCCCACAGAAAAAAATCCATGGATGCCGATCGATGCCATTTGTATGTACCTCTGTGCCAGGGAGAATGCCGATGGGGATGTTCCCGTCTTCCGATCAGATAATGAATGTTTACATTGCGTTTTCGCCATTGGGCTTTGGAGTTCAACATCGCTCCCGTGGTATAGAACCTATCAGCGGTATGCCGCCGCCGCGCGCGCGTTGGCGATTGGCATTTGGGCATCCAGTGTCGTAGATCCACATGGCGATGTCCCCGTCTTCCGGTCAGAAAATGCATTTTTACAACTGGTTTTCGCCATTGGGTTTTGGAGTTCAACCTCGCTCCCGTTGTATAAAACCTATCAGCGGCATGCCGCCGCCGCGCGCGCGCGCGCGCTGGCGATTGGAAGTTGTGCATTCAGTGTCGCATTTCCACATGAGGAGGTTCCCGTCTTCCGATCAGAGAATGCATTTTTACATTGGGCTTCGCCCTTGGATTTTGGAGTTCAACCTCGCTCCCGTTGTGTACAAATCCATCAGCGGCATGCCGCGCGCTGGCGATTGGCATTTGGGCATCCAGTGTCGTAGATCCACATGGCGATGCGTCTTCCGATCAGACAGTGCATGTTTACATGTTTTTGCCACTGGGTTTTGGAGATCAAATTTCGTTCCGTTGCATCAAATCTATCAGCGGCATGCCGCCCCCGCCGCGCGCTGGCGATTTGCATGTTTGCGTTCACTGTTGCATATCCACATTGGGATGTTCCCGTCTTCCGATCAGAGAACGATTTTTTACATTGGGCTTTCGCCATTTAGTTCGGACGTGCAACTTCGTTCCCGTTGTATCGAATCTATCAGCGGCATGCCGCCGCCGCGCGCGCATGTTGGCGATTGGCATTTTTGCATTCAGTGTCGTATATCCACATGGGGATGTTCCTGTCTTCCGATCAGAGAATGCATTTTTAGATTGTGTTTTCGCCATTGGGTTTTGGAGATCGAATTTCGTCCCGTTGTATAGCATCTATCAGCGGCATGCCGCCGCCGCGCGCGCGCGGGCGTGCGCTGGCGATTGGCATGTGTGCATTCAGTGTCGCATATCCACATGGGGATGTTCCCGTCTTCCGATCAGAATGAATGTTTACATTGCGTTTTCGCCATTGGGCTTTGGAGTTCAACATCGCTCCCGTGGTATAGAACCTATCAGCGGTATGCCGCCGCGCGCGTTGGCGATTGGAATTTGGGCATCCGGTGTCGTAGATCCACATGGCGATGTTCCCGTCTTCCGATCAGACAGTGCATGTTTTACATGTTTTCCTGTCTTCCGATCAGAGAATGCATTCTTACATTGGTTTTTGCCATTGGACATTGGAGTTCAACATCGCTCCCGTTGTATAACACGTATCAGCGGCGTGCCGCCGCCGCGCGCGCGTTGGCGATTGGAATGTGCCAGTGTCGCATTTCCACATGAGGATGTTCCCGTCTTCCGATCAGATAATGCATTTTTGCATTGGGTTTTCGCCATTGGATGTTGGAGTTCAACCACGCTCCCGTTGTATAAAAATCTACCAGCGGCATGCCGCGCGCGCGTTGGCGATTGGCATTTGGGCATCCAGCGCCGTAGATCCACATGGCGATGTTCCCGTCTTCCGATCAGAAAATGCATTTTTACATTTTTTTTGTCAATGGGTTGTGGAGATCACATTTCGTTCCGTTGTATCACATCTATCAGCGGCATGCCGCCGCCGCGCGCGCTGGCGCTGGGCATTTTTGCGTTCACTGTTGCATATCTACATTGGGATGTTCCCGTCTTCCGATCAGGGAATGATTTTTTACATTGGGCTTTCGTCATTTAGTTTTGAAGTGTAACTTCGCTCCCGTTGCATCAAATCTATCAGCGGCATGCCGCCGCCGCGCGCGCTTTCTGGCGATTGGCATTTTTGCATTCAGTGTCGTATATCCACATGGGGATGTTCCCGTCCCCCGATCAGAGAATGCATTGTTACATTGGGTTTTCGCCATTGGGTTTTGGAGATCGAATTTCGTCCCGTTGTATAACACCTATCAGCGGCATGCCGCCGCCGCGCGCGCGCGAAATGTCGTTCCGTTGTAGAAAACCTATCAGTGGCATGCCGCCGCAGCGCGCGCGCTGGCGCTTGGCATTTTTGCATTGAGTGTCGTATATCCACATTGGGATGTTCCCGTTTTCCGATCAGAGAGTACATTTTTACACATGGGTTTTCGCCATTGGTACTGGAGTGCAACATCGCCCCCGTTGTATCAAATCTACCAGTGGCGTGCTGCATTTTCGTATTCAGTGCCGCTTCGCAACCCAGACAGGGTGCGCGGTGCGCAGGGAGTGGTCCCTGAGCGCAGTCTCTATCCACGCTGGGGTCGCAGGGCGTGGCAGGCGTGGCCTGACGCCGAGAGGGGGCGCGCAGGAATCTGCCCCTGCACGCAGGGCGCCAGGGCGGTCGCGGGGACGTTTCCAGCGATCATGTTTGCCCCGCCTCCCTTATATATATATATATATATATATATATATACATATATATATATATATATATATATATATATATATATGGGCGCACTACAGCGCTGGGGAAAACAATGTTTTAAACTGTCTCCCCAGACTACTGTTAAAAAACAAGTGTTATACAGTATTGGACTACGTTTTGGCGAATGTATCGCGCCGGACCTACGTTTTCAGCCTACGTGTTGAGCTCCGTTTCGATACGCTACGTGTTGCGTGTTGCGTACTGGTGCAACTAAGGGGCGCAAGTCCTTGGAACACACGAGGTGATCAGTCAGCTCGGTCCCGTGGGCCTGACTTCGGAGCGCTCGAGGCGGCCCACGAGGCACCCATGCGGACTTCAGTAGGGCGGTCCCCGGAATTGGTTGTTGTTTTGGCCGTGTTGGACGCATGAGGCCTTCGTCGCGCTCCCGAGGCCTCCAGAACAGTCGCGCGGGCCGCCGCGCAAACGCCCGGAAACGCCGCAGCGCGACCTTGACGCCCGGTATCGTCGTTCCCCATATGAATTGCGGACAAATCGAAAGGGCCGACGTGAGGCATTTCCATTCAGCGCCTACGGCACGGCGGCGGACATAAATCTTACATTATTTCGCCTTCCCCCCCAAAAACCCACGACGCGCCCAGACAGCCAAAGAAGACACCAGAAGCCCAAAAGAGGACCTATAAGCCTTCAACAGGCCCCAAGACAACCCCGCGCGGCGCCAGGAACCCCCAGGGTAGCCCGATGGGGTCACCAGGACCATCTCCTGATTCAACGTCCTTGTTCAATTGCCTTTTACTGTCTTCCGTCGTCGTCTTCGTCGTCGTCGTCCTCCGCATTCCTCCTCGTATTTGCCCTCGTTATCTTCGTCCTCCTCCTTGTGCTTTTCTTCCTCCTCGTGTCCCCATGCTCCTTCTCTCTATCCTCACGTTCTCCACGTCGTCCTCGTCATCGCCTCATCGTCGCCCTCGCCTTCCTTTTCTTCTTTTTCGCCCAAGAAGCCCATTGGACTAAAGCGGCGATCCCCGTTCTTGTCCGATCAGGCTTACAATATCACAGTATTTCGCCTCGGCCCTGGCACTTTGTCGCCCTTAGCCTTGAGCATTCCCGAACAGACTTGCCTCATCCTCCATGTTCCGCGCTTCCCTCACCACTTCCCAGCTCACAAGGGTGACTAGCATGATCTCATGTAACCGGTTGTATGTTCCCCAGATTTCCCCCACGCTCGGACCACACGATTGTGTGTGTGATTTGTTGGTAGAGGTGCCGCCACCGCTGCTTCGAATAAGTGGATTTCCGTTCCCTCCACGGCTTCCGACACGAGCAGGCAGCTAGAGCACGCCGCCCCTCCTTCCGCGCGCGCGGCCCCATACTGCAGAGAGCCTGTCTCAGACCGAACGAAAGGGGGGGGATAGGGAAAGGGGGGGCTACGAAATCTGCTGCATGCAGCTGGTTCTGGCCCCGCCGCCGGGCCCATTCCTCGATACATGGGCGCCTCCGGCGCCGGGAGGCGCCAGGAAAATCATCTACGTGAGCTGATTCTCAAACCCCCCCTTTGCTATCCCCCCTTTTCGCTCGGCTCGGCTGTCCCCCCCAGCCCAGCCCGAGCAGGCAGACGCTCGAGTCGGTGAAGGTGGTCGCCCGCTTCGAGGCACGACGCGCGCGGCGCTTCGCGCGGCCGCCTCGTCGACGTCGGTCGTGCCTTTGTCCGTTCCGCATTCGGCGGCGGACAGGATACCCCCAGTACGACCAATCATGCCCCCCCCCCCCTCTCAGTCCTTCTGACGGCGGGCAGGGCGTTTCGCCTGAAATTTCTTCGCCATGCATGACATTGAAGGTTGAAATTGCAGACGCTTCGCGCAATCCCACCAGTCCATCCAGAAACGATGCCCAGGCGTGTTGCCTGGACCAGGGATGTGGAGGCGCATGCAGTGGAATAAAGAGCTATTGGAGCCGCCGTACCCTAAGAGTGGGAGGATGGAGGAGGAATCGGAGGAGGAGGGGCAGGGTGGTCGGGGAGCGGGGAGGGGGAAGAGGAAGGGAGGAGGGAGGAGGGAGGAGGGAGGGAGGGAGGAGGGAGGGAGGGAGGGAGGGAGGGAAGAGGAGGAGGAGGAGGAGGAGGAGGAGGAGGAGGAGGAGGAGCTGGGCGAGCAGAAAGGCCAGAGGCCTCTGACATGTCTCTCGGTGTCTCTTCGGATGTATCTTGAGAGTTTCTTGGGGTCCTATTGGAGCGTCTTGGGGCCTTCGTTGCGGTCCCAGGGGCCTCGTGGAGCGTATTTGGTACCTCCGGAGAGCGTGTTGAGGCCTCTTGGGGCTCTCTTGGGAGCCTAGTGGGGACCTGCTGGGGCCTACTGGTGCCTACTGGTGCCTTCTGGGCGAATCTTGGGGCCGTCTTGGGGCACTTTTGGGAGCCTTGGGGGCGATCTCGGGGCAATCGTACGCAGCGGAGCCCGATCAAAGAAGGGGGGGTCGCCCCCAGGAGGCCACATTGTGGCCAACACCTGAGTAAGCTCAATGATTTGTGCATTCTCGCCGAGGCCTCCTTGGACGCTCAAATCGGTCCCGACCCCCCCCCCCTCGAGACCCAGGGGTAGGGGGTAGGGGGAGGGGTCAAGGCATCTTCCTAGATAACAAGCATTCTAGCTCACTCCCACCCGCCCTCCCAACACATAAGTAACACCCGATCTTGAGCATGTTCAGCGGTCGTCTTTGGATGGACAGCTACTGGGAACCACATCTGACCCCATGTGCGCGAGGCTGGGGCGAGATGCGCCACGCGTGCCAGGCGCGCCACGCGCGCCAGGCACTCCTGGGGCCCGAGCGTGCCAGGCACGCCTGGTGCGCCAGATGCGCCACGTGCTCCGCGTGTGCCAGGTGTGCCGCATACTCCAGCCGTACCAGGTGCGCCACGTTCGGGGGACGTGCAGAGTGTGTCGGGTGCGCCTGCGCACGTGACAGCACACACCGGGAAACATGTCGGTCCCCACCACCCTTGTCGAAATCCAATGTCCATCATTTTGTCTGGTGGGCCTGCGCACTCGGCCATACGCCACAACCCCCGCCGTCCCTGTCAAAAACCACTTGACAGTGATCGCGGGGTGGCCGTGCATGATCCAGATTGTAGTGGCCTTCGGCCAGTGCCGCCGATCCGGGGCGCTCCGACTGATGTGATCCTTCTTCGCCCTCGTTCCTCCTCTCTTTTTCCCTCCCCTCCTCTCACTCAGCATTTATCGAAGACGCCTACGGCGAATCACCGCCGCCCCCTGCCTTTTTGGAAGCGCCTATGTGGCCGAACGTTGAGGCCAGACCTGCCAAGCTATCGGACCACGTGTTCCCCGAATCGGTTTGGAAAGCCTTCGGGGAACACGTGGGCATCTTGAAGGTCATCTTGGCCGTCTTGGAGGCCTCTTGGGCAAGCTTTGGGCGATCTTTGGGGCTTTTTGGGCCGTCTCGGGCCAGCTTCGAGCCAACTTCGGCCATCTTGGTGGGTTCCTGGCACGTCTGAAGCCGTCGGAAGCCGTTTGGGGGGCCTCTATGGGCCGACTTGGGGCCCGCTTGGAATGCTCCAGGGCCGTCTTGGAGGCCATCTTGGGCGTCTGGGAGGCCATCTTGGGCGTGTTGGAGGCCTCTTGGGCCCTCTTGGGGCCCTCTAGGGGCCATCTTGGAGGCCACTTGGGCCATCATGGGGCTCTCTTGGGGGCCTCTTGGGCGATCTTGGGGGCTTCTTGGGCCGTCTTGAGCCGTCGGAGAGCCGAAAAGGCGCAAATGCCAAAATCCTTCAAAAACCAAGGGAAAATCAATGATTTTGGCCTCTTCGGACTCTCCTGGAGGACCTCTTGGAGGCCTCTTGGGCCGTCTGGGAGGCCTCTGGGGGGCCTCTTGGGCCGTCTTGGGCCGTCTTGGACTCTCTTGGGCCGTTTTGGAGGCCGTCTTGGACCATCTCGGGCGGACTTGGAGGCCATCTTGGGCCATCTTCGCGATTTTTTGAGGATGTCCCGAGCGAAACGGCCGTTTTTGGGCATTGAAGGATGGGTTTTCCGAAATTTGCGGGTGGCCGGCGGGACGGGCCGAAGCCCACTGGGGAGTTCTTTTAGAAAAAGAACCAACACCAAAACCTGAATCATCCAGCACGCCGTGCACCCCTGCAAGCAGGGGGCGGCGGATCGAAGACGCCTACGGCGAATCACCGCCGCCCCCTGCCTTTGTGGAAGCGCCTATGTGGCCGAACGTTGAGGCCAGACCTGCCAAGCCATCGGACCATGTGTTCCCCGAATCGGTTTGGAAAGCCTTCGGGGAACACGTGGGCGTCTTGATGGTCATCGTCGCCGTCTTGGAGGCCTCTTGGGCGATCTTTCGGCGATCTTTGGGGGCTCTTGGGCCGTCTCGGGCCGTCGGAAGGCCGAAAGAAGGGAAATGTCCAAATCCATCAAAAACCTTGGGAAAATCAGTGATTTTGGCATCTTTTGGCCTTCCTGGAGGCCCTCTTGGGGGCCTCTTGGGCCCTTTTGGGCCAGCTTCGAGCCAACTTCGGCCATCTTGGTGGGTTCCTGGCACGTCTGACGCCGTCGGGAGCCGTTTTGGGGGCCTTTCTGGGCCAACGGGGGACCCTCTTGGGGCGCTCCAGGGCCGTCTTGGAGGCCATCTTGGGCGTCTTGGAGGCCATCTTGGGCGTGTTGGAGGCCTCTTGGGCCGTCTTGGGGCCCTCTAGGGGCCATCTTGGAGGCCACTTGGGCCGTCGATGGGGCCCTCCTTGGGATTTTGGCCCTCTTCGGACTCTCCTGGAGGACCTCTTGGAGGCCTCTTGGGCCGTCTGGGAGGCCTCTGGGGGGCCTCTTGGGCCGTCTTGGGCCGTCTTGGACTCTCTTGGGCCGTTTTGGAGGCCGTCTTGGACCATCTCGGGCGGACTTGGAGGCCATCTTGGGCCATCTTCGCGATTTTTTGAGGATGTCCCGAGCGAAACGGCCGTTTTTGCGCACGGTGGCGGGTTCTGCCGGAGCCCACTGGGGAGTTCTTTTGGAAAAAGAACCAAAACCAAAACCTAACAGCTCGTCCAGCACGCCGTGCACCCCTGCAAGCAGGGGGCGGCGGATCCAGTGGCCGTCGGCCTATCCCGCCACCGTGCGTGGGTGGTGGGTCAGAGGCCTCATGGATGCTGGTTGGGATCTCGTGGTTGGCTGGGACTTCTGGGGGCCTCTTGGGCGCCTCTTGGGGTTTCTTGGGGGCCTCTTGGGCCTCTAGGGGCCACTAGAGGGCCTCTTGGGGGTCTCTTGGGAGCCTCTTGGGGCTTCTTGGGGGCCTCTTCTGCGCCCCTTGGGGCCTCTTGGAGGCCTCCTCGGAGCCTCTTGGTGCGGGATGGGTGATACTCGAGTTCGGAACCCCCTCGGAGGCCACGATCCTTGTGAGGGGTGTCAAAAACGCATCCGCCGGAAACTCGCCCCCCCCCCCCCCCACCCCCCCTTCCCCGGCAGAGCCACCCCGGCAACCCCCCCAGAGGCTGAGGCTCAGTCTCGAGGCTGTAGCTGAGACTCCTTGAAACTCACGCGCCGGATCGGCGGATTTAGCCGCGAGGTGCATTTTGCATTTTCTGTTGTCAGGGATGGTAGCCCTGCGACCAGCAGGCAATCTGCTGACACACCCGCCGTCCCTGTCAAAAACAATACAAAGTGCTCGCCGGCCTCACGAACATGATTCAAGACTTTGTCCAAAAATGCACTTTGTATGGTTTTTGTTTCACAGAAGGGGTGGGGGGGCGCATCGGGTTGGCCGCGCATGCTCCAAGTGTGGAGGCTGAGTGCGTTTTGTATGGTTTTTTGACAGGGCTGGTGGGGGGGGGGTGATCATGGTGTCCTCATTGTTTCTGGTTGGCTGCGGGTCGCCTGGGGGAGGGGGTGTATAATAATAGGGAACAGTGGTCAAGCTACCTTCCTGGATAGCAGGCCGTCTAGCTCACTCCCGCCCGTACTCCCAACACAGAAGTAACACGAGGGTCAGCAGGTCGCCCAGGAATAACACACATGCCATGTGCGCCACGGGTTTCAGGTGTGCACCAGGCACCCTGGAGCCCCAAGCGTGCCAGGTGCTCCACGTGCGCCAAATGTGCCACGTGCTCCAGCCGCGCCAGGTGTGCCAGCTACACGGAACCAACAGGGAACCCAGGTGCCTGGGGCCCTGGTCCCAAGGAGTTCAGGATTTTGAATACCCCTGAAACGAAGTGCCCGGCATCCTATGAGAAGGGCGCCTGCTCCAGAAAGCGCAAAGAGCAGCGACACCGAGTGACAGCTTGTGACCTGTGCAGGAGTCGCGGAGCAGGTGGGAGCCCAGAGGCAAGAGGGCTTTGCGCGTGCTCCAGGTTTGGAGCCGACGCGTATGCTGTGCTGTTGTCAGGCATGGCTGGCCTGTGCGCAGCAAGCGCTATGCGGCACCCCCGCCGTCCCTGTCCGAAACCAGTGCGTACACACTGTTTATTCCGAATCCTTCAGAAGTTATTTGATTTTCCGGGGGGCCAAGATCCTTTCATTTCTAATTGTTCTATCCTGGGCCTCTTCCTGGCCATTGGGGGGCCAGGAACAATTAGAAACGAGCGCAATTAGAAATGAGCACGATTAGAAATGAACGACGGGCGCCCGCGCATGCCCCAAATTTGGAGGCAACGTGCATGTCATATAGCTGTTTTACAAGGGATGGTAGGGGGGAGCCTCATTGGTGAGGGTCGGCTGCCGGTCCCCGGGGGGAGGGGGCGTTTACAGTGGAGACCCATGCCAATAAACGCTTTGCTTGCCTCCAGGGTCCCCCCGGGTGTCCTGGGTTTCGATGGTTTTGCGATGGAAAGCGCGACGATCCCACAGCAGAAATCAAGGGACGTCCTGGGGTCTCAGGGTTGGGTTTCTTGTGGCAGGTTTCTTGTGGACCGACATCCATTGTATTAATAGGGGACTGTTCCCTATTAGTGCAATGGGTAAGCCCTTCCCCGATGGGGAAGAAGGTGGGGTGGAAGGGGGATCTCCCTAAACCACTGACGCACAGAGGGCTGGTCGCATTAACCACGGTTTCACGCATAGAGGGCGCTTCGTTTTCAAACTGTGGCGTGGCGCCCGCTTTAGCGCCGCGCACATTCGTCTTAAGTTGGTGGCAGTTTCAAGGGCTCGTAGGAGTGAAGTCCAAGGCATTGTGTTCTGGCACAGCTAAGGATAATCAGGACGCAACAATAGTCCTGACGTGCGGTGGTGAAGTCCCAGGAGCGGTGTTCTGGCACTGTCTACGAGTGCGAGAGAACGATGGTCAAGCTGTGGCTCAGGAAATGTGTGTCGGCACGGTTGAAGTATTATCATGCAGTTGTCTTCCAATGGGGCACTTCCCGCGATTGGCAACATTTGGTGTTTGTGCCTATGCAGGGGGACTTGGAGGGAGGGTTTTTATTTCAACATCGTTGATGCGTCTTCGGTTTACACTGGACCTCCTCCTTCACCTCATCTGGGCCTTTGGGAAGGGCTCTCGTGGCCACTGTAGGATCCGCTTGGGATTCATGGTCAAGAGGCGCTCCAGGAGACTCCAGAGTGGGGGGGCGGTCTTTGATGGTGGTGGGGTGGGCACAGAACGAGGAGGGGAAGAAGGATCAAGAGCAGGGGATCGATCGGAAAGCTTTGGTTTGTGTGTGCACGATGGTTTGTTAGCCCGACCAATGTTGTGCCCGTGAAGGGCAGCGACGGTCAGGGGCCTGATTTTTATTGCTGGTCACTTCCAGGTCTGTCTCCGCGAAGAGCAGAACGGTGACTTAGTCTCCCCTGCTCGTCAATCTAATGTCCTCCTCCTGCCCTGTAAGCGCTCGTGTTCCAGCCGGTGCAAGTGCGAGCCTGTGTTTGGAGTGGGGTAGGCTCGGGATGCGGCGTCTCGAGATTGTGTAACGACGAGCGCACTTGGACGCTATATGTGTTGAAGGACGGGGTGGAAGAGCGCGTCCATGTTTCATTGCAGTTGTGCAGCACCTGCGTAAAATTGACAAATGGGCAGCCATAATATGGAGAGAGACTTGCCTGTGCGTTGTAAGGCTGATGATGGCGTTCGCCAGCAGCACGAGTTCACGTACATCACTCCCCCAGGAGATCCCCCACGTCTCGCGTCAGCCAAGTGGGTGTTAGCTCATGCACGGCATCTCGTCCGATTCCAATTTTACTTGTTTTCGATCCACATTGTCGACTTCAGTTTTGGTGTCAGTATGTGCAGTGTCGTTGGTGTCTGCTACAGTTGTGTCTATTGGTGAGCACGTTGGGTACGTATGACTCTAGTCGCTACTCTGAGCGCATTTCTCGTACTTGGTTTACCAGTGCGCCATTGCGCGCATGACGAGCCCGAACCATATTATGTCAGTATTGTGTCTGGTATCCAGTATGCCTTCCCGTGAGAACATACAACTATTGCGTGCCGTCATGATGCGATGGGTGAGTGATGTGATGCCTCGCAATTGTATTCATGGTGGCGGCCACGATGTTGCCCCGCCTCGAGGTATCACAACGTTGCGTTGGTTTGAATGTGTGTGTGTGTGTGTTGCCATTGCTGGCAACACGACGTCTTTGAACAACGGTAGCTTTCAGGGATATGAGCAGGCGAGGGGAACAGGGGACGGCGACAGGAGGACGATGAACATGATTTTGACCAGAGTGAGTTGCACTTAGATGCATGGAATTGTGTGAGAGGAGGAGGAGGAGGACGAGGAGGAGGAGGAGGAGCGTGAAGGGCGCGTCGGTGAGAGGGGTGTGCCGTTTGTCCTTGCCCCCATTCTTCTCTTGGCACTTGCCCATCCTCTTTAACCCACCACTCGTCTTGGCATCCTGGTCCGCTCACGTATGTCGCAAGTTTTACGCATTGGACAGTGGGGGCGGGAGGTAATATGATACAGTCCATTTGCCCATTGCACACAATCGGTCGGATCGGTCGCGCTTCGCAGAGAGAACGCCCCTGGTTGCACCCTATACAGTGCACCCAGCAGGTTGTACAGAGCCGCTGTTTGGGCCCATGCGCTGGCATCCTGATGACATTCATGTCTGACTCCTCCTCCCCTTCGTCGCATTCTCCTCCTCTTCATTATAACTTGCACCCGGCAAGTCGCACAGAGCCGCTGTTTTGGCCCGATGCGCTAGCGTCCTGACGACATTTATGGTTGCTCCTCCATCTTCCCATACCCCTCCTCCGTTTCTTACTCCTCCTCCTCCTCCTTGTCCTCCTCCTCCTTGTCCTCCTCCTCCTCCTCCTCCTCCCACTCCTCCTCCTCCTCCTCCTCCTCCTCCTCCTCGTTCTCCTCCTCCCACTGCTCCTACTCCTTCTTTTCACTTACTCCTCCGCTTCCTCCTCCCGCTCCTCTCACTTCTCCCCCCATCCTCGGGACATCCAAGAGGCAGTTGAGGACTAGGTGTGCGTGTGTGTGTGCCCCAAATTTCATGACCCATTATCCTTGTTGCTTTCCCCAACCATCCTGTGGTGTTGGGCCCTCGTTTTGAAGAAACCTCGCCCCACGTTCCTTCACCTTCTCTCCTCCTCCTCCCCCTCCCCCCTCCCTCACCCCTACTCCTAATCCCTGCCTCCGCCCTCCGCAAGTCCCCATCTTCTGGTATTATCATAGTTGTCATCATCATCGTTACCACCATCGCCATCGCCATCATTCGCGCCATCGCCATCGCCATTATCAATATCGTGCATCTGATCTCCGTACGTGCAACATGTCGGCACACCCCTCACACGGTTCTTGGCCCCATAGGGAGCTACACCGAAGGCCCCAATGGTTGCGTTCACATGCGTCCCGCGCCCATGTCCGCACACCATTCATACGGTTCGTGGTCTCATTTGGAGCTCCACAGAAGGCCCCAGTGGCTGCGTTCACATGCGTCCCGCGCCCAGCTCGGCACACCCCTCGCACGGACCGTTGCTTGAGGGAAACTCCACCGAAGGTCCCAGTGGCTGCGTCCACATGCGTCCCGCGCCCATGTCGGCACACCACTCACACAGTTCGTGGCCCCATAGGAAAGTCCACCGAAGGCCCCAGTGGTTGCGTTCACATGTGCCCCGCGCGTGTCGCCTGCACTCCTCTGGGGCGATTGGCGCGCGTCGCGTGGAATCCACGCTGCGCTCCGCCCAGCGACTCGCTCGCCCGTCGTTGCTCGGCCCAGCGGCCAGCGCGTGCCCCGCTGTCAGCCAGCCAGCTAGGCTTTCCCAACCATCCTGTGGTGTTGGGTCCTCGTTTTGAAGAGACAGCGCCCCGCATCCCACTCACTCACTCGCTCACTCATTCATTCTTCCTCCTCCTCCTCCTCTTCCTCCCCCTCTTCCCTCCTCCATGCGTTTCACCCATCCAGTACGGTGTTCCGTGGCCCCGTAGGGAGCTCCACCTAAGGCCCCAGGAGAGGGGTACCGCATGCATCCGCCACACCCAGTACGGCGCTTCGTGGCCCTATGGGGGGCTCCACCTAAGGCCCCAGTGGACGGGTACTACATGCGTCCGCCACACCCAGTACGGCGTTTCGTGGCCCCACAGGGAGCCTCACCTAAGGCCCCAGTGGGGGGTACAACATGCGTCCGCCACACCCAGTACGGAGCTTCGTGGCCCCATAGGGAGCTCCACCTAAGGACCCAGGGGGGGGGTACCACATGCATCCGCCACACCCAGTACGGCGCTTCGTGGCCCCAGAGGGAGCCTCATCGAAGACCCCTGGGGGGGGGTACCACATGCGTCCGCCACAAGCAGTATGGCGTTTCGTGGCCCCATAGGGAGCTCCACCTAAGACCCAGGGGGGGGACCACATGCGTCCGCCACAACCAGTACGGCCTTCCGTGGCCCCATAGGGAGCTCCCCCTAATGCCCCAGTGGGGGGTACCACATGCGTCCGCCACACCCAGTACGGCGCGTCGTGGCTCCATTGGGAGCCTCAACCTAGGGCCCCGGGGCGGGCACCACATGCGTTCGCCACACCCAGTACGGCGCTTCGTGGCCTCCAAAGGATCTCCACTTAAGGCCCCAGTGGGGGGGGTACCACATGCGTCCGCCACACCCAGTACAGCGCTTCGTGGTCCCCAGGGGGCTCTACGGCAGGCGCCAGTGGGGGTGGCCACATGCGTCCGCCACACCCAGTAAAGCGTTTCGTGGCCAATGGGGCCGTCCGCATGTGTCCCGCACACCCAATTTGGCATTTACACCCACCCAGTACAGCGCTTCGTGGCCCCATAGGGAGCTCCACCGAAGCGAAGCCCCCAGTGGGACCGCCCGCATGCGCCCCGCACACGTAAGTTGACATGTTCACTCACCTAGTACAGCGCTTCGTGGCCCCAATCGGGAGCTCCACCGAAGCCCCCCGTGGGACCGCCCACATGCGTCCCACACCCAATTTGCCAGTTTCGCTCACCAAGTACAACGCTTCATGGCCCCATAGGGAGCTCCACCGAAGCCCCCAGTGGGACCGTCCGCATGCGTCCCGTACGCCCAATTCGGCATTTTCACTTTCCCAGTATAGCGTTTAGAGGCCGCAGTGGGAGCTCCACCGAAGCCCCCAGTGGGACCGGCCACATGCGCCCCGGAAGCCCAATTTGGTATTTTCACCCACCCTATACAGCGCCTCGTTGCCCCATAGGGAGCTCCACCGAAGCTTCCAGTGGGACCGTCCGTATGCGTGTCGGAAGCCCACCTTGGAATTTTCACCAACCCAGTGCAGCGCTTCGTGGCCCCATAGGGAGCTCCACCAAAACCTCCAGTGGGACAGTCCGCATGCGTCCAACACACACGCAACTTTGCATTTTCGCCCACCTTGTATAGCGCTTCGTGGCCCCATGGGGAGCTCCACCGACGGCCCCAGTGCTACCGCCCGCGTGCGTTCCCCCCCACCCAGTGCAGCGCTTCGTGGCCCCATAAGGAGCTTCACAGAAGAAGATATCCACAATTGCGGTACCCACAACTGCATATGGTTGGATCCTTCGCCAGGATATTTTGTCCCCGCGCAACGGACGACCCGCGCGCGTCGCCTGGACCCCTGCGGGGCAGCCGGCTCATGTCGCGACGACTCCGCGCTGCGTTCCGCACAAGGCCGCGGCCACCAGGGCGAGAGTACACAGAGTGGACACATTTGAGAGCCCACCGTCCCGCTCCGCTCCCCCTCTCCCTGCCCGCACTGCCCCGCGCCTCGTTCTTTCTGCGGCGCGATGCTTATAAGAGCAGAAAGTTACGCGGCGCGCGCTGCTCGGAGTTTGCGCGGCCCTCTCCTTCGTTTCATTTCCTTCGCGGTACTCGCAGCTGCATATGGTTGGATCCTCGTCAGGCTGACTATTGTTTGTGATTACGTTGTCTTTCTTCCAGCACGGTTCTTCGTCCCGTTCCCTGAGAGCGTTTCACGGTACAGGGTTTCAGCGGAGCTAAATCAGAAGACCGCGCACACACCTTTGCTGCTGTTCGGGTTGTTTTCCCTGCGGTAATTCTTATTTAATCGCTTCGCTCATTCCGCCGGCCCATACAGTCTCATGTCTGCCGTTTGCCCGAGGGCCTGGTGTCAAAGCGGCGCTTTGGGGGATATTTTGCCAGGCGTCTCGGGAACCTCTTGGAGGCAGTGTTGAAGCCTCTTGAGGCCCCGTAAGGGCCGTTTGGGGGTCGTTGGGGCTTCTTGTTGGGCTTCTTGGATGGTTCTTGGGGCGTCTTGGGGGACTTATTGGCGGGATGTTGGTGGCTTCTGAGGTGCTCCTAGGGGCAGAATCCCCCTTTGGGCGCCTATTGGGCGGTCTTGGTGCTCTCTTGTGCCGTCTTGGGGTTATCTTGGGCCGTCTTGGGCCGATTTTAGCGGATTGTTGGGCTGTCTCGGGGCGATGTTGGGGGCTATTTGCGTAGTCTGAGGCGCTGTGAAATTCGAAACGCCGTTCATGCGGGAAGTGTACATGTTCCTCTGGGAATGGGACGATTTTTGATTGTAATGGCCGTCTTGGAGGGCCTCTTGAGGCTCTCTTGGGGTTTCTTGGCGGCCTCGACGGCAATTTTGAGGTCATCTTGGGCGATTTGGAACGATTGTTCGGCGACTTGAGGCGGCTTGGATTGTTTCGGGGGCGTTCCGGTGCCGTTTTGGCGCGCTCCTGGAGCGTTCTGGGGGCATGAGCCGAACGTCGCGCTCTGGGCGGCGTGCGGAAGCCATTGTGTGAGAGGGCGCGGTGGTGAGAAGAACAGCTCACCCCACCCGGCTTTCCGGGCTTTCCGGCGTAAGGAGGGCTTCTTCGCGGCACTTGTGAACGCTCCTGGACAGTGCTTTTTGGGCAGGTTCTTGACGCTTGTTGCAAGTCTGTAGGGGCCCCGTTGGGAGTCTACCGAAAGGAGAGCACATTGTAGCATCGCTTGCACTTGCTTGCGTGCTCGGTCGGGGGGGCATTTTGGGGGCCTCCTGTGGCCGCTTGGGGGACTCTTGGTGGCTTCTTCGGGGCCTTCTGAGGGGCTCTTGGGGGCCCATGGGGGCCTCTTGGGGACCTCTGGGGGCCTCCCGGGAGGCTCTTAGGACTGAGGGCTCGAAATGTTGTTTCGTGTTCCCCCTCTGGGGCCGTTCTTGGGGCCCTCTTGGGCCGTCTTGGGGGCGTCTTGGGCTGTCTTGGGGCGCTCTTGGGCCGTTTTGAAGCCCTCTTGGGGCGATCTTTGGGGCCTCTTTGGTCGTCTTGGAGCGTCGGGAAGCGGAAAAGGCGAGAATGCGAAAATCCTTCAAAAACCTAAGGGAAATCGAAGAATTTTGCCTCTTGGGGACCTCTTGGCAGGCGGTAATTCTTATTGTGCTTCTAGCCGACGCATCCCTTGGCCCCCACCCCGCCGCGCGTATGCCTCGGGCCATGACGAACGCCCCACGGTTTTCCGGGCCCCCCCTCTTCGGTGCGCCCGACACCCGCCTCCCTGTTGTTTCCCTTCCTTCCTATTTGCCCCCCAACAAAAAAAAACAGGTGAACCCCGCGCGACCCATCCGAGCAGAACGCGGCGGCCATTGCTCTCCTTGCCCCTCCCCCTCTTAAGTGGCGTTTTTTGGGGCGCGCATTTTAACGTGACGCACCTTTCTGCATTTTTGTAGAAGCCACTGCAGGCCGCGAGCGGCCACTGAAGACAGCTAGCGGCTGTTAGAAGGCGATTCAAGGCCTCACTAGACGGCCGCGACAGGCAATTGAAGGTTACTAAACCGAGGCGGTATATGTTAGACTGTGCTTTCAAAAACACTTACGTAAATTACGGCCACTCCGCCCCTCGCCCTTTCCCCCTCTCCTCCTGGCACCCTGCTCCCCGGTCTTCTCGCGGGCTGAGTTCTGGCGGGTAATTGTTTCGAGACGAGTCCGGCCGCGGTGACGCGCGGCCCCCCCTTCTTTCCGAGGAGGCCCGTTGACATGCCCGAGCGCGCCATCCCTTCCTCCCTCATTCGTCCTCCCTCTACTCCTCGTTTTTGTTGCTCGTTTCGTCCTCCTCCGCCTCTGCCCCCTCCCTGCTGATGCTCCTCCCCCAGCGCCGCTCCCGTGCTGGGGAGAATGATGAGGAAGGAAAAGAGAAACAGGGAGGAGGGGGAGGACAGGAACAGGACGGGGAACGAGTGTGGAGGATGAACAGGAGAAGGGGGAGGAGGAGGATGAAGAGGAGGACGAAGAGGAGGAGGAGGAGGACGACGAGGAGGAGGACGGAGGACAATGGAGGATGAGGAGGACGAGCAGGAGGAGGAGGAGGAGGAGGAGGAGGAGGAGGAGAGGAAGAGGAGGAGGGGAGGACGAGGGAGGGGGGGAGGAGGGAGACTGTGGACGTCCTCCCCCTCCTCCCCCTTTCTCCCCCCTCCTCCTCCTCCTCCTCCTCCTCCTCCTCCTCCTCCTCCTCCTCCTCCTCCTCCTCCTCCTCCTCCTCCTCCTCCTCCTCCCTCTCCCCTCCCCCATCCGCCGTGAGGGGCCACGGCTGGCTGGCTCCTGGACCGCGTCTCGGAAACGGTGCACAGGATGCCCCCCCCCCACCCCCCAGCAGCAGCCTCGTCGTCGTCGTCGTCGTCGTCGTCGTCGTCGTCGTCGTCGTCGTCGTCGTTTTCGTCGTCGTCGTCGTCGTATCACGCGCCCGTGACGCCAATGACAACTATTCCAATATAGATGGTGCGGCACTCAGCAGCGTCCTTGACTTCGAGGTCGTTGTCGTGGTTGTGGTCGTCGTCGTCGTTGTCTTTGTCGTCGTGGTCGTCGTCGTTTTGGCCCGTGTGTTTTCTTCGCACTATCCTGCTTGTCCTCCTCCTCCAGCCACTCCTCGGTCTTCTTCCTTCCTCTTCCCCCTTCTCCTTGCCATAGGCCCGTCGGCAGGAGGAGGAGACGAGAGATGGCAGCGGAGTGAGGAGGGGAGTAGCAGGCAGGAGGGGGGAAGAGGATGAACCGCAGGAGGAGAAGTACAAGGAGGAGGGGGTTTGGTGTGGAGCAGGGCGAGGAGACGGAGGATCAGGCAGGCGGGGGAGCGGGAGGGAGAGAGCTGAAGGAAGCAGGGTGGGGGGTTGGAGGAGGGGTGGACGTGGCCCGAAGCTGGAGGAGAGGGAGGATGTGCGGGAGGCAGGGGCTGGAGAGGGAGGAGGCTTCGCAACGCAGCTTCCGGCCGAGCAGCCCGGGGAGCTCCTCGCCTCTCCGGCGTGGCGGGCGCGCGTACATGGCGCAGCCCTCGGGGGCGGCAAAGAGGGGGGTGATGACTAGGGGGGGTGGATATCATGGCGGGGGCCATGATATTTCCCCAGATTTCATGGCGCCTCTTCTTATTTCGTTACGTCCCTGGCCCCCCCGCTGGGCCGCGCACATGCCGCCGGTCATGATTTGCACCCCCCCCTCTTGGACACCCCCCTCTTGGCCGCTCCCGAAGCCCACCCTCCCGCAAGTACGGATAAGCGTGATGGGGCGGCGGGATCGTCGGCAGTCTGCGAGGCTCTGAAGAGCCCCGCCGCAGGCGCCGAATCCTCCCCACGGTCTGGAACTTTGGGACAGCGTGTTGTTCCGCCGGTTCTGCCCCATCGCGCGGCTGCGCGACGCGCTATCCGCTTCGCGGTCCCGAGGCGTCAATGTCCTGAGCCTTTTTCCGAGCCTCCCGCCCCACGGAGCGGAGCGACACGCGATCTGCTCGCAAGGCATAGCGTGTCGCTGGGGCAGCCCTGGTGGCACGCTATATACGCAACAATTCCCGACCGCAGCAATGCACAACGAGCCCGCCGCAGGCGCTGAGTTTTCCGTCAAGGAAAGGTGGGTGGGTGGGTCGCGCGGTAGGTCCCAGAGTGGGTCGCGTAGTGGGTCCAAGGTGGGTCGCGGGGGTCGTGGGCGAGGACGGCGACAAATTACCGCAACAACAAACAACGACAAATGAGCATCATCCAGACACTTGAATCCCACTTCACCCACGCACCCAGGGATGTTGTAAGACCGTTCGGCCCCCTCATTCTGACGTCATGTGTACAGTCTAACAATCACGCCCAATCATGACGAGTATTACATCAGGTGTGGCATTTTGTCAAAAAACAAAAAAACGAACTGTATAGCAGGAGGAGAAGGGGGATGGACAACAAGATGGCAGGATTGGTATGGAGGGAGATGATATAGCAGGAGAAGACGGGGGCGGCTGGAGGGATGTGGATCAGTGGGCAGGGGTGGACCGAAATTTGGATCACACGTGGCAGTGGAAGGTTGAAAGGGGGAAAGATGAGGAGACATGCGGCTCATCACCAGTTAGAGGAATGGAGGCGGAGGCGGAGCAGGAGGTGGGATAAGAGGCGGGAGGAGATGAGCAGCGGAGTGGGTGAGCACCCGCTGCCGAGGAACCACCAGGGCGCGCCGCGGGTTATCGGGCTGAGGGTGTTGAACGCTGCTCCCAGGTGGGGCGAGTACTGGGCGATGTGGCGCAGGCGTTTACATTTGCCCATGGAAGTGTCTGAGTGTTTGCGGGTGTGTTTGTGTGTGCATGTGTGTGTGTGTGTGCAGATGTGTGTGTGTGTGTTGCGCTTGACCTTCTCAGCTCGGCGGTTGTCTACATTCGACTCGAATACTGGCCTTCAGCTTTGTTCGTGCTCCCTTACAAGGTGATTCAGTTACTTTGAACTTCCAGTCAATCCGCAGAGTAAGGATGAGCGACTTTCCAAGGTTACCCTTGCAACCTTCCCCTTTGGCTCATCCTTGGCCGGTTTCATTGGCTGCGCCCCGCTCGCAAAGTTCCGACATGGCCTTCCAAGGCCCTTGTATCCTCATAGTTTTCATTATTCTACGGGTTGATTGTAAGCCGCATTCAGTCTTATTCGACCTGCCGACTGCATTCACCAGCACGCCAGAGGAAACACGCGTGCGTGTTACGCATGTGTGTGAATGCGCGCTTCTGTCTCCTCTCCTCCTTTACTGCACGTCGGTGCGCCTCGCCCTCCGTTGTGTGCTGTGCATTGCTCCGTTCTGGTTTCCCCCTTTTTTCTCGCCCCGTATCCCCACCCCCTACCCGTCGCGTCAGCCCCCCCGCGAGTGCCATGGGCGGGTCCCTCGCACCCACGCCGCGGGACCTGGGCCGGCCGCGCGCGTCGCTTCGCCCGACTTTCTACGCCGCGCCTCCGCGCGCGATACCGCGACGCCAAAAAGTGTGAAGGCGCGACTCTCTCAGGAGCGAAAGAGGGATGTGCACGTATTTGAGTCCACGCTGGTTTCGAGAGTGCGCCTTGCCCGAGTGTTCATGTGCATAGCTGGGCGCGTACGTCCTTTGTGGGCTCCCCACTCTCTGCGGTGGTGTGGACACCACCAGCACCCCTGCCACACCATCGGCAGCCACGACTGCCGCACGCGTGGCCTGCCCGCTGCTGGCCGCACGACTTGCCGTGCGGCGGGGCCGCGAAAGTCTTCCGGTTCTGCAGAGTGCTCTGGGCATGCCCGGGCCTTCGTGAGCCTCCGCTCTGCTCAGGTCATGGTTGTGGCTGGCCTCCCCGCCATCGCGTTCACCTGCGTGCACCAGCCCTCGCGCTGTGAGGTATTTCGGCGGCGAGCGAGGGGGGGGAAGTGAGAAGGAGAAGGCCTGCTCAGAAAGCGGCGGGACTTCTCAGAAGCCTTCGCGCCCTTTGAGAAGTTTTCTGCGCCTTCGGGGAAGGCTTAGAAAACTTCTCAGAAGGCCGGGGGACTTCGGAGCCTTCTGAGAAGGCCTTCTCCTTTTCCGTACCCGGCCCCCTCGCTCGCCGCCAAGTATGACCTACAGCTCCGAGGACGTCGAGGCTCCCTGGGCTACACCCGTACATCTGCATCGGCGTTTTGCTGCGACCGCGACAGCTCCGTCGAGCCGCGGCGCGTCGGCCCCTCTTCATATAGTTTAACGACTACCACATTGAATTGCATACGAATAGAACATTCAAGTAACATCTTACTTGCTTTGTTTGTTCACGATGAGGAAGGCTGGGGGAGCGGGTGGGGAGAGAGAGGCTCTCTCTCTCTCTCTCTCTCCCACCCTCCCCTCCCCTCCCCCCTTCTCGTCCGCCGCCGGCAGGGGTGGGCCAGACAGACCCACGAGTCCAGGCTGGTCCACTTTCCCTGGGCCTCCCAGATGGGGTCGGAGTATATTCTGAGTAGATGGGGTCGGAGGATCGCACCGCATCGCCGATGTATCGACGATGCGGCTCGATGTGGAGCCCGATTTTCTCCACGCCGACGTCGCCGATGCGTCGGCGATGTGTCGACGATGCATCGCCTATGCATCGGCGATGCGGCGCGATCCTCCGACCACATCTGCTCGGACCCCATCTTGGAGGCCTCTAGTCCAGACTGGTCCATGTTCTGCACCAGGGTTTGTTTGAGTACCCTTTCCCGCCGTGCAGGTTGGGACGCTCAGGAAACATAAACGTTTGTGTGTGTGCCACTCGACATGGAAGTCTTCCGCGTCTGAGTGCCCTCCTCCTCCTGTCTTCCGCGGCCGCCCCGTCCCCGTTGTTCCCCCTCTTGCACGCCGGCCAATTCGCGTATCGGTCGCCCCAGATCGCCGCCCGCTGGAGCAGCTCTTCTGCTTCGCCGCTGACGTAATAGTGTGTGTGTGTGTTTGTGTGTGTGCGCGTGTTTGAGTGCTTGCGTGTGTGTGTGTGTGTGTGTGTGTGTGCGTGCGTGCGTGCGTGCGTGCGTGCGTGTGTGCGTGTGCGTGTGTGTGTGTGTGTGTGTGTGTTTGAGTGTTTGTGTGTGTGGTTGTGCGTGCGTGCGTGCGTGCGTGCGTGCGTGCGTGCGTGCGTGCGTGTGTGTGCGTGCGTGTGTGTGTGTGTGTGTGTGTGTGTGTGTGTGTGTGTGTGTGTGTGTGTGTGTGTGTGTGTGTGTGTGTGTGTGTGTGTGTGTGCGTGCGTGCGTGCGTGCGTGCGTGCGTGCGTGCGTGCGTGCGTGCGTGCGTGCGTGCGTGCGTGCGTGCGTGCGTGCGTGCGTGCGTGCGTGCGTGCGTGCGTGCGTGCGTGCGTGCGTGCGTGCGCTCGCGCGCGCGTGCACGCGTGCGCGCGCGCGCGTGCGTGCGTGCGTGCGTGCGTGCGTGCGTGCGTGCCCCCCTCTCTCGGCTACCCCCCGATGGACGCCCGCACTGCGGGGGTTACCTCTGCCTCCTCTTCCCTCCCTCGCACTCTGACCGGCGGCACTCTCTGAGCTCCTACCTGACTGCGTCCGCAGCGTCGCTGCGCGCGCGCCCGCGACGCCAAAACAGCATCTGCGGATGAGTACCTCGGCCTGCCACTGGCCCCTCAGAACACAGATTAGTCTTCAGGGCGATCTGAACATTTGCGATTACACTTGGAGCGTCGACGGGCCGATGGTGCGCCGCGCGGAGCTGCGCACGGCTTGCCGCGGTTCGCGGGCAGTCCCCCCCTCAGTATCGGTTAACCGATCCCCATCCCCATCCCCATCCCGATCCCCACCATCCCACCACCCCAGTTGGGGATATGCCCCTCGAATCCCGAAGCGAACATCCTGTATTATGGGGGGGCAAAATCGCCAGTGGGGCCCAGGCCACGCCGGTGGGGATAGGGATCGGGTAAACGATGCTCACTCAACTCCCTGGGCCACCGCCGCCTCGAGCCCAGGCAGCCGCACCGCCAGTGCCTGCCACTGCCCGCGGTGGCGCCGCCGACCTCGGCTGCCTCTGTTTTTCTCGGGGGCAAGCTGTTAGGTGGACGAGCACCTGTAGCGTCAGCAATACCTTCTCAAGAAGGCGCGCAAGACAGATGCCTCGGGCTTGGTCGAGCACGGGCGAAGCAGAGAGGCAGCCAGGGGGTACAAGCGCCCGCGATCCACAAAGTCGCCAGGGATCAACAGCCAGTTGCAGGCATCTCGATTGGCACGATATCGACCCAGCTCGAAACCCCAATGACGAATACGAAGGTCAACGCATGAAACACAACTAATACCGGGGTGGAGAGCACCCGCATGCGGCCTTCCAGGCCCAGGCAAGGGCGGGCAGCACACGCTCGACGCTTGACCGCCAGGCCCTCTGCTACCCGCGAGAGGCGGATGATCCTCCAGACGGAGCTCGACCAACGCGAGCTCCTCCATGCTGGCCTTGTGCCCCCACGTCGCTGCCCTCAGATACAGAGGTATTGCGCAGCCGTCGACGAGCGCCGAGAACAACACGCGGGGGCAGCGAGGGGAGGGTCTGACCGTCAGCGCGAACTCCTGGATCCTCTTGCCTGCTCCTCCCCCTCCTTCCAGACCAACCCCCCTCCCGCCACAAGATCACCACTTCCAGGAGCGCTACAAGAAATCAGGGCCTGCATCTGCAAGCGCAGGCGGCTGGCCCTCCCCCCTGGGCTCAGACCAAACTCCTCGACTCACAGCCGTGGTCGAGGACAGCGTGACGGCCAAGATCCCCATAGCGGCGGCACTGAAATCGGCCAACATTCTCGTCCCGTCCCGTCCACCACCACCACCACCAAGACTACCACCACCAAGAACATCACCACCACCACCGCCACCACCACCAAGACTACCACCACCACCATCACCACAACCAGCAGCAGCAGCAGCAGCAGCAGCAGCACCACCACCACCACCACCACCACCACCACCACCACCACCACCACCACCACCACCACCACCACCACCACCACCACCACCACCACCACCACCACCTCCCCAAACAAGATCGCCGTAGGGGCTTGAGGCCTAGAGTTCGAGGCCTCGGTCGAGACCTCCAGCAAGTAGGAGGGCACCAACTCGAGCGCTCGGCCCAGCGCTCGGACCTCCTCCTCCTCCTCCTCCGCCACCTCTCCTCTGATCACCGCCTCGGACGTGCCGTGCAAAAGAGACGGTGCGAGGCCCATCGGCCAGAGTCGCCTATTCGCTCCGTCACGCGCGAGGTAGTCGCGAGAGGCCGAACGGCCAGGGTCGCGTATGAGATCAGGGCTCCTTTTCTTCCTCCTCTTCCTCCTCTTCCTCATCCTGCTCCTACATCGGACGAGCCGTACAAGTGTCGCGAGCGAGAGGCCTACAGCCAAACTCGCAAGCGAGGGTACATTGGAAGGGCCGAGCGAACGGCCACGGTCGCATGGGAGAGCAATTTCCCCTCGTCCGCATCATCGCTTTTCCTCCTCAACCGCCTCGGACGTCCCCTGCAATAGAGCAGGCAAGAGGCGCTGCGAGAAGGTCGCCTATCGCACCGCGAGGGGCCAATCGCCAAGGTCACGCTCCAAAATATACGCGAGCGGCCAGCCTAACGGCCACGGTCGCGCGCGAGAGCAGAGCTCCTCCTTCAGATCCTCCACCTCAACCTCCGACTCTACCGCCTCCGCCTGCAGCAGAATCCGCAGCAGTGGCGGCTCGACGACTTCATGTGAAAAGAGCGACAGTCGCTACACAAAAGGGGCAATCACCATATTAACTATACGTCGAGGGCGGCCTCGTCCGCACAAAGCTCATTCAAACAGGGCTGCACAGGGGTGTCGCACTCGATCAGTCTTGCAACGAGGATATCGACAACATGCCCGACAAACATCAAATCGGTATTATGATACTTGACAGTAGCCTTGAAAAAGGTATCTCTTGCCGCGGCAGGCACTTGCTGAATGATGGTCGCACCTCGTTCGACTCCTGATGTGTTGATGCCATCCAAGGTATCGGCGAACTCAGCGAGCATTAAGCTGTCACGAATGAGAAGCACCTCGTCGTGTGCATCCAACTCCGAACTCGCTCGAAGATCACTTGCGGAAGCACGATCGCCTCCAGCAACACGACTGACATCAGCCTCTCGGGGGCCACCGGCCAACCGCTCCCCTCCGGCATCACGACCGATTCCAGAATTTCGAGGCCCCCCACAAGCAGTCTCCTCGTCTAGGAAAACACCTTCAGCGACAGCATCGTCCTGGGGTGCGCCGCCTTCTGCATCACGTGCACCTCCAGCGGCTCGAAGATCCCCTCCTAGAACACGAACGGCACCATCGTCACGAAGAGCCTGCCCCACAGCGTCCGCAGGAGCACCTCCCGAGACACTAACGGCATCCTCGTCTCGAAGCGCCTGCACCTCGGCGCCATGCAGGGCCGTGGGCAAATCCTCCTCCACTGCAATCTTGGTAGCGTCTGAGCAGGCCATCTGGTCGTGACCCTCAGCTGCCTCCCACTCGGTGCCGTCTTCTTCCATGGACATGTTCTCATCGTCGTCCACCTGCTCATCATCCTCGTCCACTTCCACGTCCAGGCCGTGCGTGAAGAGGTAGTCGCCGCCATCGACCTCGACACTGAGCCCGCCCTCAGCCCCCTGTCGGCGCCGTGCCGCCCCCCGGCGTGCTCCGCACGCCTCCCGGTGCCGATCCGAGAATGCCGCGCGGAGCTCCGAAAGGTCACGTTTATGCCGTCTGTTCGCCCTCGAATCATCGCGGGCGCGGGCCGCAGGCGTGCCCGGCGGTGCACAGGCTGGATTGGTCCGCAGGCCGCGGGGCTGGTCGCGAAGCGGGTCGCCTAGGATGCGGCGGTCAGGCGGGAAGGTTTGCACAACCACGGCGCCAGTATGCTGTGGGACGCTGCGGGCGCGCATCTCGGGCAGGCCGTCGATCGGTCGCGTGTAGGCCTCCCCAGGCGGGCTCGCGGCCGGCGTGAGGGGGAAGAGGAGGAGGAGGAGGAGGAGGAGGAGGAAGAGGAGGAGTAGGGGGAAGTGGAGGAGGAGGAGGAGGAGGAGGAGGAGGAGGAGGAGGACCTGCCTTCTCGAAGGCCTTATCGGAGGCCTCGGTCCCCTACTTCTGCCGAACGAAGGTCTACCGCACCGCCGGAGTGGCCTTCTCTGCGGGCCCACAGTTTCGGCAGCAGGTCGTGGGAGCCTTGTATTCGGCGGCGAGCGCAGGGGGAAAGTGCCGAGCATCTTCTTTGGGTGGAGGGCAAAGGGTGAAATGTGAAATGCCGTATTTGCAAAAGGTGAATCACAAGACGGATTTGTTCGAAGTACAAAAACCCACATGGATTTTAACCCTGGGCCCTCCACCCTAAGAGAATTTTCAGAAGTGAGAAGGAGAAGACCTTCTCAGAAGGCGGTGGGGCTTCTCAGAAGTCCTCGCGCTTCCTGAGAAGTTGTTTGCATTTTCGGGGAAGGCTGAGAAAACTTCTCCGAAGGCTGGGGGGACTCCGAGCCTTCTGGGAAGGCCCGCCCCTTGTCAGTTCCCCCCGGGCGAGCCGCCTATGTGTACCTTCGCAACTCCGTCATTCGAGTGCGTCGGCGTCGATGAGCAGCTGGCACGTCATCGATGAGACACCGCCGGTTCAGCGCCGATGCGGGTCGATCTGCGTCGACTTAGCGTCGACTGGCGCCGATTAGCATCGATTTTCTTCCCTTCGCAAGTGCCAACAAGACAGTGTGGGAGGTTCCCACGAGTTGCCACCGAAACGCATAAGAGCGGCGCTTCGCCGGTGTGACTGTGAATGCGAACCCACTGGCCGGCGCGCTTGGATTCCGCCATCCCCGCGGCCTCCTCCAGCCGCGCACCAGAGGCCACTCCAGGGCTGACTCCATTGCGTGCAGCCGGGGGGGAGGCACGCTGCACGAGGTCCCGCCGCGGGGCGCCGCTGGGGCCACGCGCCCGGGGACACGGGCAGGAAGCTCGGCCCTCCGCCGCGCTCGCTGCCGCTCCGAGCAAGGAGGAAGTGAGGGTCCGCCGCCCCTGCGCGCGGGGTGCTGCACTCCCAGCGCGGGTCCTTCCTTTGTCCTGGGTCTCCCGGATGAGGTCCGAGCAGGTGGGGTCGGAGGATCGAGCCGCATCGTCGATGCATCAGCGATGCGGACCGATGTGCAGCCCGGCTTTCTCCACGCCGACGTCGGCGAGGCGTCGCCGATGCGGCGCGATCCTCTGATCCGAGTTGCCCGGACCCTTTTTGGGAGGCTTCTACGTGTCTTCTTCGGCGGCCGTTCTCCTCCTTCTTCAACAGCTTTGGTGTGCAATTTGCTTTGGCGCGTCGCGACCGTTGCTGCTCGACGCCTCGTGCCCCACGTCGCCGTTGGAGAAAAGGTTCACGCGCTGTTATACCTTTTCGCCTGTAGCTGTGCCGCAAGGTTGTTTCATCGTTGCTGGGTGGTTCACGGGGCTGTTTCGACGCAGCCTTGCGAAGGCGGGGCAGTCATGTATGGTTTCGAAAGATTCCCAGTGGGAGCGGGGATTGCTAGCTCCATCTCAACGTTTGTTTTCAAGTTTTGCAAGATCAGTTGTTCTGGATGAGAGCACTGAGCGACCAGGAGACCTGGTTCAGATGATCAGTCAGAGTTCCCCATACCCCCGGAAAGCTGAACAGTTTTGCACCCCAGGTTCTGGGCTGTTTTCGTAGAGATGATGACGTAAGCATAACTTCTCGGAGCTCCGCGCGGAGTTCTTGGATCGGCGCTGGAGCCACCTCGGGGCGGCCCTGTTTGCCCGCGCGCGTCGGCGCCGCCCCTACGCCAGCCTTTTGCGAGTGGGGCGCGGGAGGTTCCTGAGCACAGTGGGGCGGAGCCCCAGGCTTGGACATGCACAGAGGAGACAGGAGAAGGGGGGAGGAGCAAGCAGGGAGGAGGGGAGAGAGGAAGAAGAGGGAGGAGGAGAGAGGAGGAGGAGGAGAAAGAGGAGGAGGAGGAGGAGGAGGAGGAGGAGGAGGAGGAGGAGGAGGAGAGGAGGAGGAGGAGGAGGAGGACGAGGAGGAGGAGGAGGGAGGAGGAGGAAGAGGTAGAGGAGAGGAGGAGGAGGAGGAGGAGGAGGAGGAGGAGGAGGAATAGGAGGAGGAGGAGGAGGAGGAGGAGGAGGAGGAGGAGGAGGAGGAGGAGAAGGACGTGCCAGGGCTGAAGGCCCAGCGCCTGCGCACCGCTTCTCGCTGCAAGGCAGCAGCCCGGGCAAGACTGGATCTTGCCATCGTTCGGACGCGTGCCTTTTCGTCGGCGAGGTCGGCGCTGGCAAATCTGGATCATCGTGGAGCTTCCTGGATCATCAGGCGAAAACACAGACTATACATGGCATTCTGCACATGGGGCGCAGAGGTGCAGTGTACAGCGGGGGGGTCAATGCAAACGCACTGTGCGCTGTATGAGAATTGGGCGCAAAGATGCAGTGCACAATGGGGGGTTCAAAGAACCTCCACTGTGCACTGCATCTCCTTCTCTGAATGGGGTGCGGCAGGTCCCTGAGGGAGCTCCTGGCCAACCCACACGTGGCAGCCGCCTGCGGCGCCTTCGTGCCGCCTTGCGGGCAGGCGCCCCGGGGTGGGCGGTCCGGCTTCTGTCTCGACGGCCAGCGGGTGACCTTGAGAGAGTGAGTCGCCTTGTCACGGAGGTTCCTCGGCAGTGGATCGGGCGTTCTGGCTTCTGTCGTTTCCGGGAGTCGCCAAAGAGCGTGGGACAGTCACCACGCACGGGATGGCCTCTGAGACGGCCTCCATCGATATCGGCACAAGCTTGAGCTGCGAAGTTGCCTCGTGTCCCCCCCCCTCGCGGCTCCTTGGGACTGGACCTGGGACACTGTGTGCCCTGGCCATTTCTTTCGCCCCATTGGGGACTCCGACGCCCGTGGCCCTTCGTTCCCGGTGGCGCCCCCTCGTGGCAGTCCATGGCCGTCGGGCCCTCCTCTCTGCGGCGAGCGAAGGGGGGGACGCGAGAAGGAGAATGCCTTCTCAGAAGGCGGCAGGACCCCTCAGAAGCCCCCCGCGCCTTCTGACAGGTCTTCTGCGTCTCCGGGGATGGCTCGGAGAGCTTCTCCGAAGGCCGGGGGACGTTCGAGCCTTCTGAGGAGGCCCGCCCCTTCTCGCTTCCGCCCCTCGTCGCTCGGAGCGGTCTCGGCGGCTCGCGGCCCGCTGCCAGTCGCGCGGCCCGTGGTCGCGCCTGGTGGGCCCCCCTCGTGGGATCCCTCGTGAAGGACCGTCCACACGAACGAGAGAGTGCACGCTGCTTGGGAGGAGTGCGGGTCCAGGTGCATGTACCCATGGTGGGAGCTGTCGCTCCAGCGGACAATCCCGTCGACAAGAAGTCGCGCGGAGATCTCGCCGACCTCTACGAGCAGCGGTGGGTCGTCGTGGGCCCTCTGCTGCCGGATTTTTTGGGGCGGGACGCAGGCCAGAGTTAGGCTTGGACAGATCACGAATATAGCTGTTTAGACCCGACGAGTCACTGGCTGTCTTACTTGTCAACGAGAGCCCTCGGAAAAAAAAGGCGACAGTTGGACACCAGACGCAGGCCGCTTAAGTGCACAACTATTGGGGAACAGGGGCGGGGCGTGGACCACAGACATGGCCTGCGCGGAGTAGTGCAAGCGCTGTTGGGGAATCGGTACGTAGCAACCGTCGTCGTCTTCATCGTCGTCGTCGCGTTCTGCCTGCCTCCTCTCCTTTCTCCTCCCCTCCTGGTAGCAGAGGGAAGGGTAGCAGCAGAGCAGGGAGCGTTCGGACGACGAGGATACACATGATTTTTCGGAGTTCCGCGGGGATTAGTTGGATCGGCGCTGGGCCCCCCAGGGGTTGCGCTGGAGGTGCCGCCATGGATGGGGGCGGCCCAGCACCCATCCAAGAAATGTGCGCGGAGCTCCGAAGGTTTCTGCGTATGCCGCTCGTTGCTCGCGTGACCAGAGCAGGCGTACAACCCAATCGAATCGTAAAGGCGGGTGTTATTGTTGCCGGACGGTGCCCTTGCATCCTTGCCCGCCGGCCCATCTCAGGTAACCATTTGCCGTTATTGTTATTATTATTGTTATCATTATTAGTGTTATTATTATTATCATTACTATTATTAGTATTAGTATTGTCTGTAACATTAATATTATTATTTCCATTATTAATATTATTATTATTATTATTATTATTATTATTAGTAGTATTGTTATTATTATTATTATTATTATTAATATTATTAATTGTTTATTAGTATTATCATCATTATTATTCCTGTTATTGTTATTATTATTTGCTCGTATTTTTTGTTAAATGGGTTTCGACTCGGGCGTCCAGGGGCCGTGCATCCTCACCGAGCATCCCCATGATCCAGTCGCATTGTAGTCTGGGGAGGAAAAACACACACAGACACAACATATCGTCGACTTCCCGGAAAAGATGGGATGTGGGGGGGGAAGACGAAAATCCCGAAAATATGGGAAACTATGCGGGATCCTGTTATTCGTTTTTATTTCGCTGCGTGTCCCAGGGCCCCTCTATGTACCCTGGGGAGGAGGGCCTTACGACCCGCGTCGGGCCCAGGTTTTGGCGCACGTGGCGGATGGAGCCGTGGCCGCCGCGGCACCTCACTGGGGGTACGTCGTCCTGGAGGTACGTTTGGGGCTTCCCCAGCGCAGCGTGCAACAGCGGAGCCCGAACAGTTGAGATGCGAGCTCCCCCCCCCACAAGACTTCATGCCAGAAGGAATTGTGTGCGGATTGTTGGGTTTGGATTCCAAGCTGTCTCTGGCCTTGCGCTGTTTTGTCACCTGCCCAACTCTCAGGCCATAGGATGGCGAGCCTCATGCGAAGTGGCATTCCAGCATGCCGTGCGAGGTTTTCCCTCACGGATCAGTCGTCCATGGCGAGTGGCCCTTCGTCGTGCCTCGTGGCCTCGTGGCTCGCGTACCCCTCTTGGGGCCTCTGGCCGTTGCCGCTACCTCCCCTCGCGGGCTCTTCGGCCCTGGACTCGGTAACCAGTCCATGGGTTTCGGCCCAGCGCGCCTCGCGGCCCCATCGTGTTTTGTCCGTGGCCAGGGGCCCTTCGCCACGCTTCGGGCTCCTCCTCGTGGCCCCCTTCGTGGCGAGGTGAAGATGCGGAACTAAGTACCGCTTTGAAACAAAGACCACTCAGGGCTCCTCAAGGACCCCAAATCCAGTAAACCGGCCGAGGCTGGCCTCGGAAATTGCCTTCGTTCCTTAGGCGGCGTTCCGCACGGCAGCACGGCGACTGCAGCCCGCCGCCCGTCGTCGCGCGTGGCCGATCCCAGTGCCCCGTGGCCTTCCTTCACCAGCACTTGCGCAAGCTTTGAACAAGGCTTCGCCGATCATCCAGATACCTCCGCTCTTCGCCTTGGTCCGGCGCTGCTTCGGCATATCCCACTGAGGCCCAGCCTGTTGGCCCATCAGCGTTCCCGCACGATTCAGCTAAAAAGCTCGCCCAGGCTGGTAGAGCCGTTCCTTAGTATTCGGTTGGGCTGTCAGAGTCACTTGATTAGTTTGGTGGTCCTTGCCGAGAGTACCTCTGCGTTGGAGCCAAGAGTGTCGCGATGATTCAAGTCACCAGCTGGCTGTCTCCTTCCCTCTATGAGGGTCGCTTTACTCATTCGGGAAGGAATGGCGGGCCCGCTTTCAGTCAGCATTTTTCGAAGAGTCCCGCGCCGGCGAGAACTTCTCTGGGGAAGTTCTTCTCTGCAGGCGTTCGCCGGTCTAGGATGCAGTCCAATAACCGTCCTTCCGAGGAGGGTGTGCGTTGTGCATTTATGCATCCTCCGTCTCGCAGGGAAGCTACGCGCGGACTTGTTTACTCCACTGCTGGATGCCTCACTTGTCCAAAAGGGCTTAGGCGATAATTTGCCAAACATTCGAATCATAGCCGCTTTCTTCACTGGCCGGAGGAGGGGCCCCTCAGCTTGTGGCCGGCGGCCAGGTGCTCACAGCCACCACCAGGCGAGAGCAACGGCGTTCCGGAAAGGATCGCGTGTTTCTTGAGTCCAACATTGCCCTTGTCTTGTTCCATCTTCGGATCCGAGCTTTGCTGTTGTGCTCATCCCATTCACTCCTAATCCTTATCCTTCCCCCCCCATCAGATCACTGCTCGTTTGCACTCCGATATTGCGTCGGTCTTGTGCTTGTGGCCACGGCATCGCTTGTGATCTTCTCGGCGAGAGTCGATTGGCCACCTGCCATGAGGATGCGAACAACGGTCAGCGATGTTGTATCCCCCAGGCAGTTTTGCCTTGCCATGAGAGTCAGATGGCAGGAAGAGCGAGAGACCAGCGAACAATTACTAGGCGGAAGTCGGAATGCTCGTGGCGACACCTTACCACGAGATCAATTACTGCGTATTGCGGCGGGCGACTGGTGAGCTAAAATCATGCATGTTGATGATCAGATCGGATTTTTTTGATAGGTTCTAGCTTGCCCATTGCTCCATTGCTTTAGAGTCCACCTGCTTCCCCCGCCATCCCACCCTCGGCCTCTTGTCTCCTTCCATCCTGTCTCTTGACGCTGCCCTGTTTGTATGTTCGTGGGTTCATGTCTTGGCGTCGTTGAATTCAGGGCGTCTTGACCCGTCTTCCACACTCCCTTTTTGGTGGGCGACTTGGGCCGAGGGTTTTATGCTCTCCACCTCCCCCCCCCTGGCAGTCTCCACACGGTGGATCGTTCGCGGATTGCCCATCCGATCCGATCCAATATGTTTTGTCTCTTCCGTTCGCGTCCTTTTCTCGTTCGGAGCGAGTCTTGCTCTGGGTGGATGCTGGCCCAGGCCACATCGGTCCTCACGCTCCCTCGCGCCTCACGGGAACCCGCGCGGTGCCCGCACGAGATTCGATTCAGTCCCGTGCGAATATCTTTCGCGCGAGATCAGCCGCGAGGTCTTGCCTAGATGGGCCTCGCAGACCCCCCACACACACACACACACACACACACACACACACACACACACACACACACACACACACACACACACACACACACACACACACACACACACACACACACACACACACACACACACACACACACACACACACACACACACACACACACACACACACACACACACACACACACACACACACACACACACACACACACACACACACACACACACACACACACACACGCACACACACGCACACACACGCACACACGCACACACACGCACACATACACACATACACACATACACACATACACACATACACACACAACACACAACACACACACACGGCGTCTCGCCCAATGCCGCCGTTGGTCTCGTCCTCGTCGTCATGCCGTCGCGCCAATTCATCGATAATCAAAAGCCCTAACCCGAACATCAGCATGAAGACGTAGCCAAATTTGAGTTCCCGTCTATGTTGGTGGTTTGTCTTGATTGGCTTGCTGTGAAGACTCCCTTTTCCCTGGGCCTGTTGACTTGGGCCGTCTCCTAAAGGGTTAGCGGGCCCTTAATGTCTACTCGAACTCGGGGACCAGCTTTCGGAGGCCAGGCAGAGGGCAGCAGCTGCGGCCAAGCAGAGGGCAACCGTTGCCGTCGCTATGCGCGCCACTGATCATCAGCGCTGCCTCGTTGGAGCTGCGCCCCCCTCAACTCTGGTCATCTAAGATATGACGGTCCCGAGGCCTGGTAAGGGCCCCCTTGATCGGGCGTTGCGTGATGGGGTGGGGTGAAGATCAAGGGGCTCCAAAGGGGGCCCGTGGGGACCCAGAAGGGGGAAGAAAGGTGCACGCGTTTTTTCGCCCCCTCATTTATCGCCCCCCCTCCCCCCCAAGATGATATCCCGTCGTGGTCGTACGTACTCCCACCTCAAGCAAGGTCCGACTGGAGACAGCAGGCTGTCACACGTCAAAAACCATTCGTCGTGATTTTCTCTTCACGACGAGAGGGGCTGGGGGTCGTCCGCGTCGCCGTCGCCAGTCGTCGCCCGGCGCGCCCGCCGCACCCCGCTCTGCGACCACTTGCGAAACCCCACTCCTGCAGGCCCGATCGCCGCGAGGGCATCGGACATTCCCGCGGGGGTTCGCTCGGCTGCGGCCAGCCTTCAGATTCTGAACCCCGGCCGGCCTTACCGAAGTCTGACCTGCAGGGGCAGGATGCGTATGTGGTTGCCTAGGCCTAATACGATTTGACCGATCCGACTCGATGCCGAAGTCACCTGGCCCGACCCGATTCGGTTTCGATCTCCCGGCGATCAGAGGCCGACCGATGCTCGCACAGCGCGGTTGCGCATCCCAGCGCGGCAGGTTCGATTCGGCCTCGATCCCGAACCGATTCAAGCAGCGGCGAAGCATCTTGGCTCGCCTATAGCCCTACCAAACAATGTTCTAAGAACCTTTTGTGGTTTCCACGAAATGTTTTTAGAACATTTCTGGCGGAGTCTACCTTGTTTTAACACATCGGGAATATGCTCTAAGAACATTGCTTTTATTATTAGAACATTTTTGGGTTCTAAGAACATTTCGTGGTAGGACTATAGGAGTGCCGGGACGGTCGGTCCCTGCTCAACCGATGCAGCCCGATTCGATGCTGCTCTCGATCTGATGCGAGCTCGCGGTGCTTGCCGTCGCTCGGACGTGGGGCATCTGGCGAGCAGCATAAGCACAGGAGGCCGAAACGTGCACGGGGAGCGGACGTCCGAGCGATGGCACGGCCAGCGTGGCAGCACAGCCTGCCCGGACGGCACAGCCTGCCCGGGGCCAGCTCCTTCGGTGGCAAGTCATGGGAGCCTGGTATACCCTCTCAAGTCTGTTTTCAGCGTCGATTAGCATCGACCAGCGTCTGGGAGTCGATGAGATAGCGCAGATTTAGCGTCGATTCGAGTCGATTCAGCGTCGATTTGAGTCGATTCAGCGTCGGTTAGCGTCGACTTAGCGTCGACCAGCGTCGATTCGCAAGAGCCGGCAAGTTGGCATGGAGGCTCCCAGGCGTTGCCACCGAAGCGTGGCAACACAGCCAGCCCGGACGGCACAGCCCGCCCGGGGCCAGCTCCTCGTCCCGAGCCGCAGACGTTTCCTCCCACGGTGCCGTCGCAGATTTCGTTTGCAGTGGATTCGACGCTGGCCGGTCCTGCCCGCGTGAGGAGGCCCACCATTTGCCGCTCGGCCGCACTGGGTCGTTCGAGGAGTCCCTCGTGCTGGACTACGGGCAGCTCCTGGAGGACGGCGCGCCCGCGCGCATCGGCGCCCCAGGGGGGGGAAGGGGACGGGGGAGAGGGGCAGGAGGAGCCCACGGCGAGGGAACCTCTGTGTGGTCCGCCAGCCGAAGGCGAACAGCGGTGCATCGGCACAGTTGCACTTCTGGCGGTTCGCGCAGAGTTCTTGGATCGGCGTGGGGCACCCCTCCTGGCGCGCGGAGCTCCGCGCAGATTTCTTGGAACGGTGATGGGCCCTCCCTGGCGGCACCTCTGGCGCCGCCCTTGGCGCGCTCCGCGCGCCAGGGAGGGGGGTCCAGCTCAGATCCAAGAAATCCGCGCGGACCATCACAAGTTTATGTCCATGTCGTGTTTGTGCGTTTTCTATTCGAGGGAGCCTCGGAGGGTTCCAAACTTTCCCGCGGCTTCTATGGGTTCGTCCAGATTGCGTCTGATTGGGTCGACATTTGCACGAAATCTGGACGAAAGGGTGAAGAGTCGCGATCGAATTCTGGACGAACTCCGGTCGAAGTCAAGTTTATGGTAGGACCGTGGAATCACGTTTTTTGTAGGGCCGTGGAGGCCCACAGAGGCTTCCATGAAGGCTCACCCAGCCCCAGGAGGGAAGAGGGAGTTGGGCACAGACACACAAGGAATCGTCGATTTCCAGGAACACATGGAAATTATGGGAAGCGGAGGTGGAGACGAACATCCAGATGTTTTTTTTCATCGTTTCTAAACTAGAGCGATCCTAAGATTTGTGTCTATTCATTTGTGTGTGTCCCAGGGCCCTTCAAATCGATGAGATAGCGCCGATTTAGAGTCGAGTTAGAGTCGACTCGCGTCGATTAACGCCGATTTGGCGCAGATTAGCGTCGATTGGCGTCGAGTCGCAGGAGCCAACAAGATTGTATGGGCGGCTCTCATGAGTTACCTGCCGCAGAACGCTCCCTCCCGCCTCTCTCTTCTGCATCCTCCGCCGAGTGCGCCAGCTAGTTGCAGGGTTCTTGGTTCGCTGAAGGTCCCCTCAGAGTCCAACAGGTCTGCGGCTTGGTCACCGAGAGATGGCAGGGCAGATCAGAACTCGACGAGCTGGATCGGTATCGGTATCCTCCGTATCTTTTCTCCCCCCCTTCTCCCGCACGCAGGGCACGAAATTCGATAGGAGTGCCTGCCTCGCTGTCTCAGACCTGTAGTGTACTTTTTGCTTGCTACTGCCCAGTACTTGTTTTCCTCGCCGCCGCACTGAGCATGACACTAACGCGAACAGAGCGGAAGACAGAACGTTGCGGATTGGGACCAGTGCCCGTCCAGTTCGTTGCTTGGGGCGCTGACCTCAACCGCCGTGCCGACAGGAAACCTATCCAAGCCAGCAAGACTTGGGGGGGTGGGAACAAACAAATTCTGCTGTCCTAGGGGGCCACATGCGAACCCTACCCCCACCCCCCTACGATTTCTGAGGGGGAGGGTGGGATTCACTTCGCTCGGGAGCTCCCGAACGGAGTGAACCCCACCCTCCCCCTCAGAAATCGTGGGGGGTAGGGGTAGGGTTCGCATGTGGCCCCCTATGTCCATCCTCTGGACCACCATCGGCTGCAGATCATCGGGCTCAAGACCCGCGGCCGCACTGCCTCTCCACAGCCGCGACAGAGCGCGGAGTTTTTTGCAGGGGGGCCGAGTCGCCCGCACACGCGCGCCCCGGCATGTCCCTGACCACCCCGCCGACTTCATCTCGGGGGCGGCCAAAAAGGGAGGGTGATGATCAGGGGGGGGTGGCGCCCTTTCTCACTTTGATACGTCCCTGGCCCCTCCGTGGGCCGCGCACATGCCGCCAGCCATGATTTGCGCCCCCCCCTCTTGGACGCCCCCCTCTTGGCCGGCCACGACATTCAGGGGTAGACACAGGCGCTCCTGGCCCAAGGTGTCCCCAGCTCCTCGCGCCATTCTGGGGCCTCTCTCTGGTCGCCCATTCACCGCCAATCGTGGCATGGACGCCCCACCCAGCCCAGGAACCTCCAGCTTTGCGATCTGGGGGGCTGTCGCTGTTCCATCGGCGATGCATCGCTGGTTCCACGTCAATGCTCTCGAAGAAGGGAAACGCCACAAACAAAACATGAACTTTTGGGCGGGTCGCGCGGGTTTCGTGGATCCGCGCTTTGGCCCTCCTGGCGCGCCTCATGTTTATACAGTTTGATCTTCTTCTATCAATGCTCCCCCTCCTGAGCCAGTCCCAACACTCGCCCCCCCACCCACCCTGGGCCCGGGGCAGCCTTTCTGGCGACCCCCGACCGCATCGCCGCCGTCCACGCCGCGTTCGACGCCGCGTGTGCTCGACGGACCACCGCCCCTGCGGAAGGCCCGGCCAGGGCCGCTGCTGCGGGGCCTGCTCCACAATTCCGCAGACGAGGTGGCCGAGGTTCCCCCATTCCATCTTGTCGGGAAATCTCCAGGCGTCCCAGATGGTCGGCACGAACGAAATGGGTACGGAAAGAATGGGTACAATGCCCAACAGCAGTTCATTTTCATTTTGAACAGGACTCGCTGTCCGCGCCGGCGCGGCCTGTGCCCATTTGAGACAGAAGGCCGCCTGCCCAACAGCGGCCGCTGTTGGTTTGGGGCAAAATTTGTTGTAGGGCATTGTACCCATTTTTACCTAACAGCTCTTGCTGATAGGTTTCTAGTGGTGTCAAAAGAAAACAGAATGACTCCTCAGAGGGGTCTGGGCGGGACCCGGGGAGGCTGCCGCCGAAGCCGAAATCGCTTGGGACATCCTCGCAAAATCGCTCTTGGTGCTCCCAGAACTCCATTCCCAGGCCACATTTTGGATGCCCGGAGCCAACTGTAGGCCACTTCGTGCTCTTCGACTTCCCAGAACTCCATTCCCGGGCCACATTTTGGATGCCCGGAGCCAACTGTAGGCCACTTCGTGCTCTTCGACTTCCCAGAACTCCATTCCCGGGCCACATTTTGGATGCCCGGAGCCAACTGTAGGCCACAAGTTCCCAGAACTCCATTCCTGGGCATGATTTTGAATGCCCGGAGCCAACTGTAGGCCACTTCGTGTTCTTCTAGTTCCCAGAACTCCATTCCTGGGCCACATTTTGAATGCTGAGGCAGGCTGAGGCTGCGGCCGAGGCAGGCTGAGGCTGAGGCAGGCTGAGGCTGAGGCCGAGGCTGAAGGCAGACTGAGGCTGAGGCTGAAGCAGACTGAGGCTGAGGCTGAGGCAGGCTGAGGCTGAGGCTGAAGCAGGCTGATGCTGAGGCAGGCTGAGGCTGAGGCTGATGCAGGCTGAGGCTGAGGCAGGCTAAGGCTGAGGCCGAGGCTGAAGGCAGACTGAGGCTGAGGCTGAAGCAGGCTGAGGCTGAGGCTGAGGCAGGCTGAGGCTGAGGCAGGCTGAGGCTGAGGCTGAGGCAGGCTGAGGCTGAGGCTGTGACTGCGACTGCCGTTGCCGCTGCGACTGTCATCGCGAACGCGACTACGACTGCGAGAACAGCAGAATTCTACAACTGGATTTTCATCTGAATCTTAAGGGGAATGCTTTCAGATATGCTTCTACACATCGCTGTTAGGTTGCTTTGCCGGGATAATCCATATTTTGTCGTACCCATTTCGGGCGTGCATAGATGGGGTCTGAGTAGATGGGGTCGGAGAATCGCGACGCATCGCCGATGCGTCGGCGATGCGATTCGATGTGGAGCCCGATTTTCTCAGCGCTGATGGCGCCGATGCATCGGCGAGATCATGCGACCCCATGTATTCCGTTCCTGTTTAGGACGTTTTCAGGTTCCAGCCGGTTTCGGCCTCTGGGGTTCCTCACCGGTCCCGGGACCGTCAAACAGCGTGAGAAATGGGTCCCGGGGCAGGGGTCCAGACTTTCGCGATTAAGATGTCGGAGTTCTGGTATCCCCAGCCAGCGCCAGGGGGATCGATCTTCGGGGACCTCGGCAGGCGGTGGATCTGGACATCTCCGCCCCCCCACCCCCAGGGGCCCCGACTGCGTCCAGGTCCACGGAGCTGCGGAGGCCCCCGAAGATCGACCCCCCGTTCGGTGGTCACGGATGAGCCCCCGCCTCGCCCGAGGTCCTGGGCAGGGACGCGCAGGCGGCCACGGACATGTACCTCGACGGTGGGTCCGAGCCGCCGCTCTGCGCCGCCGTGAGGCTCGGGTGCGACGAGCGGGTCTTCGAGGTCCTGCTCGGCCATGGCCTGGACGTCAATGCCACGGACGCGCGCGGGCGCTCCCCGCTTGCCCTCCTCGGCGCCGAGTCCGCCCCGCAGCTGCCTCGCCCGTGCCGCCCGGCTGGCGCAGGGGCGGCGGCCCAGCGGCTGGAGGGGCGCCGGGTGCGCATCGCTGCGGCACTCCTCCGGGCAGGTGCCGAGGCAGAGGTCCCGCTCTGAGATTCGAGTTGTGCTGCGGGCCTGAGTTTTATCTACACCCAGTGCGTTTTGGACTCTCCTGGAAGGGGCCCCACAAGGTCGATGCGCGCTGGATGTGGCGAAGACTCGAACCTCTAAGGGCCAGACTTTCATCCGTATCCAGTGCGCCTCGGGTTTCTCAGGAAGGGAGCCCGAAACCCCAAGCTGCAGTGAATGTAGACACAAGTCCTGCCCGCATATGCGTTGTCACCGTGTGCTGCGAGGACGTAATTAAGCTTCGCTCAGACTGGGGAAGCGTCGTGCGTCCTTCTTTGTTGAGTCGACGGTGTCCTCGATGCTGGGAAGCGCCGTCTGTGCGAGCTCTATCCTCGCTTGCCGCGCATCCCTCATTCAGCTGCGGTCCATGGCCATCGTCAAATTCTCTCTCGACGACACTCGACGGCAGCTATAGTTTAGAGAACCCTGGGATGTAGGCAGACCTCACGCATCAGACTCCACTACCAAGGAAAGAGCGTGTTCTATCGCTGCTGGCGGAAAACCGGGGGGGGTCACCACCGGTTCGAACCCCCCCCCCCCCCCCCCCTTCCGGAAAACCGGGGGGGGTCACTACCGGTTCGAACCCCTACCCCCCCCTCCCCCCAGCTCATCATGAAAAGGGGGGGGGTCACTACCGGTTCGAACCCCCCCCCCCCTCCTCTCGAAAACCGAGTGGGGGTGCGGACAGTGGTGGGGACGGCGTTGGTGGGGACAGTGGTGAGGGGACAGCGGGACAGTGGTGGGGACAGCGGGGGGACAGTGGGACAGTGGTGGGGACGGTAGTGGTGGGGACAGTGGTGGGGACAATGGTGGGAACAGGGGGGACAGTGGACAGTGGTGGGAACGGTGGTGGTGGGGACAGTGGTGTGGGGACAGTGGGAATGAGGTGGAAACACTGGGACAGTGGAGGGTACAATGGTGGTGGGGACACTGGTAAAGGCGGTGGCGAGGACGGCGGTGGGACAATGGGACAGAGGTACAGTGGGGACAATGGTGGGGACAGTGGGGACAGTGGTAGAAACAGTGGGACAGCTCAGTGGGACAGCGGAGGAGTCAGTGGGACAGTGGGGACAGTGGGGATAGGCAGTGGTTGGGTCCGTGGAGACAGTGGGGAGAGTGGAACCGTGGTGGGAACAGTTGTGGGAACAGTGGGGACAGTGCGACAGTGGTGGGGGCATTGGTGGGGACAATAGGGACGGTGGTGGAACCAGTGGGGACAGTGGTGGTGAGGACAGTGGCGCTGGGAACAACAGTGGGGGATGTGATGCGAGCGGTGGTAGGGACCGGGAGTCGTTTGCTGGCGGTGCGTGGGGTGGGGGGGGTCGAACCGGTAGTGACCCCCCTCCGGTTTTCGAGGGGGGGGGGGGGTTCCAACCGGTAGTGACCCCCCCCGGTTTTCCGGATCCGGAGGGGGGGGGGGGGGGGTTCGAACCGAGACCCCCCCGGCTTTCGAGGGGGAGGGGGGGGGGGGGGGGAGGGGTTAGGGGAGGGGGGGGGGGGGTTTGCCGGGGGGAGGGGGGGGGGGGGGGGGGAGGGGTTCCGGCAGGGGGGGGGGGGGATTTTCGGAGGGGGGGGGGGGGGGGAACCCCGGGCTCCGGAGGAAAAGGTTGGCAATTTTCCACAGTAAAGCGGCGGTGGATCACGCTCTCTCCTACCAAGAGATGTAACCTGTGCATACTTTGGCCATCTTGGCTCCTCTAAATCTTGCAAGGGGGGCTAAACTTCGAGGGGCCAATCCCTCGGCATGCCTCCCACGCGCTCAAGATCATTGTCATAATGCTTTCAAGATAGGTAGGCGCTGTGCGACACTACAGGCCGTTTTGTACAGACGGTGTGCAATACACCCTTGGCATCTGCACAGCTCTGGTTGACAGTGGGCTTGGCCTTCCGAAGATACAGCATATGGCCAGCTGCCCACAGACGCCGGGTCTGAGAGTGAATGAGCAAAAATGTGTCATCGTCAGGAGTGGTGGGTGGTCCTTTGGTGCGTGTGGTGGGGGCACGACATGTCTTGCCGCGGGGCTTTCTTCCACACGCGAGCCGCAAGGGGCGGGCCACTCTGCGGAATGGTTATCGTGGCGCCGCTGGCCGTTGTCTGATGGTGCGGCTGTTGTTGTTCTCCGAACTTTATAAAATCTGGGGCAGCATATCTAAGCATGCTTTGTTTTCTGTAGTGCCACAAGTTGTGAATGAATAGCATGTCATACTGCATCCCGTGGGATTTTCTATAAATTGGCTGGACATTCCCTGTCGCAGGGCCGACATTATGGGTTTCACTGACTTGAAGCTTCGGAAGCGTAGTTCGCCAGGTGTTCGATTCGCTATCGGTTGCAGATACGCCATGCCAGCGGCACGGCATCGGCACCGACATTGTGCGCAAGGCTGGACGTTGTTGTCCCTCTCCTACCTCGAGGTTCCGTCTGGCCCGCCCCAGAAGCGATGAAACCAGACAAGCTGTCTTCTTTTGGCGGGCCTCTTTTGCTTCCGTCCGCAGAGCCGCCCTCGTTCGGCTGCCGCCGCCTTTCGCGGGCCGTCCGCCGCCTTCCGCCGAGGAGACGCCAACATTTCGATCGTTCGAAGGCGAGGCCCTCACTATAGCGGCCAATGTACGATGCGGCACGTCATATGAGCGAAGTCGTTGCCGGTTGGCTTGGCGATTACATCGGTCGGTCGTGATTGTAAGTCAAGTGTGGGGCAGGCGTTGCGCCTTGACACCCTGCGTCGCAGAGAATGCGCAGTGTGCCCTGAGGGTCACCGAAGACTGGCTGGGGCGCTTCGCGGGCGGGGAGGGCCCCGGACGGAGTTGGCCTTGAGGCGCGATTGCCGATCTCGCTTCGCAGCGCTGGTCTGCCACGAGGGTCGGCGTTGCCCGTGAAAGCCGAAGCCTGGCCTCCCTTCACAGAGAGTGGCCGTGCCTGGAGCAGCAGGCCAGTGTAGTCCGAGTCTGGATCCTGGCCCCGCAGAAGGCATCTCTACAGTACCACCGTGCCAGGCCTGGACCATCCTTCTCCTGCTCCTGCTCCTGCTCCTGCTGCTCCTCCTCCTCCTCCTCCTCCTCCTCCTCCTCCTCCTCCTCCTCCTCCTCCTCCTCCTCCTCCTCCCTCTCCCTCCTTTCACTCCTTCCTTTACTCCCATCCCTCCCTCCCCTCCCTTCTATGGGCCCTGGTGTGGCGCACACGCGCCCTTGGCCGACGCCAGGAGGGTCTATGCACCATCCCAGGGCCCAGGATGGCCCTGGCTCGGCGTGGTGATGGTGGTGAGTCCAGGTCGCCCCAAGGGGGTCGCGAAGATTCGTCATCGCGCGTCGCGGCCTCGGCCAGAGAGCTGCCCTTCTCCAAGGTGGCCTCACGAGGGCGCGAAGGTAGCCTCGCGACGCGCCTCGCGGGGCGCGATTCGAAACGTTGGATGACTGTGTAGATGCCTTCCCTGGACAAGGGGCCTCAGGTTAGGCCCGGAATCATACGGGGAGGACACCCCCCGTCATCTCCCCGGGGGGAGGGAACAACGCTCCTGGCGGCGAAAGGTTCATTCTTCTTCCCCCGCGATTGTGGCGGCTACGGAGATGTGGCGTTTCAGTTCTTGCTGTCTGCTATGGTCAGCGTGATGCCGAGAGGCTTGGCTCCAGCGATCTGGGGCCGCTCAAATATTTGTTGTTCTTGGCCCCAAAGGTCAGGGGCAACCGATTTCCCTTGATTCCCCCTCGTCTGCATTTCTTCGCACGGTGCTGTCTCAGCGCATTGTTCGCTGCAGGGCTGGTCTCATTGCATCGTGCCGCTGTGGGTTCCAATGTACGGTTGAGGAGGCCCAGGGATACTTACACTGACGACTAGACGAGGTCGGATGCAGTGTAGTGTCTCCCCTCTCATTGCGAAGGCCTTACGGCCGGTGCCGCCGACCCTGAAGGAGGAGGAGGACGACGACTACGACGACGACGACGACGCTGACGACGCTGACGTGGGTCAGAGTCCTCAGGGATTACGTTTCTGGTCTCTTCGGAGGGCTCTCGGAGGCATCTGGGGCGCAGTTTTGGGGGCCCCTTGACAGCATCTTGGAGGCCTTTTTGGAGCCTCTTGGGGCTTCCTGGGGGCCTCTTGGGGGCCTCGAGCTTCTTGGGGGCTTCTTGGGGCCTCCTGGGAGCCTCTTGGGGCCGAGGGCTCGAAACGTCCGTTTGGTTCGCCTGTCTGGGCACCCTCTTGGAGCCCTCTTGGGGGCCTCTTGGGCCGTCTTGCAGGCGTCTTGGGCCGTCTTCGGGCCTTCTTTGGCCCGTTTCGGATCCCTCTTGGAGGCATTTTGGGGCGATCGTTGGAGCCTCTTGTGCCGTTTTGGAGCGTCGGGAAGCTGACAAGGCGAGAACTCCCAAATCATTGAACATGTATAGGAAATCAATAAATGTTGCCTGTTGGGGCTCTCTTGGGAGTGCTCTTCGAGGCCTCTTCGGGCATCTTCCAGCCCTCTTGGTCCGCCTGGGGGCCTTAAAGACGTCCTGGACCGATCGTTCGGCGATTCAGGGTCCTCTCGGGCCGGAAAGACGTCGGGGTTCTCTTGGACCGTCTTGGGAGCCTCTTGGGGCACTCTTGGCTCGTCTTGGGACTTTTGGGGGCCCCGGGCACCCCCAGGGGAGGGGGGGGGGTATTCTGACCCAGGACCCCCCGCGACCCCCCTGGGACGCCCCTGGGACCCCCCCCGTACACCCCTTCCTTGCGGGGAAGGGATCTAAGGGAATGGTTACGACGTTGCTCAATTTCGTTTTGGCTGGCGCGCTTGAGGAGGAGGGCCCAGGAAAAGGGGAGGGCGGCGACGGGCCCAGGGACAGAGAAGGAGCGGCGACGGCGACGACCACGACGACGACCACGACGACGTCGACGAAGACGAGTCAAACGGAACAGCCTCGTCCACACGCCGACAGGGTCGGCGGATTCCTCGTCTTCCTCGTCAGCTGATTTCCCCGCTGTGGCGTTCCAGGAACTCGGGGCATGGTCCTACCAGTTGCCGCGTGCGTCGCTGCGGCCCCTTGATTGCTGTTGTGTGATGCCAGGTTGGAAACAATGATGGGCCTGTTTCCCACCACCACCACCATAAGTTGGAGGGGGAGGGGGTCCTCCTCCTCCTCCTCCTCCTCCTCCTCCTCCTCCTCCTCCTCCTCCTCCTCCTCCTCCTCCTCCTCCTCCTCCTCTTCCTCTTGCTCCTCCTCATCCTCCACATCCTTCCCCCCTCCAACTTATGGTGGTGGTGGTGGAAAACAGGCCCATCAAGCAAGGTCGGTCGGATCACAGGGGGATGCACGCACAACGCTTCGTTGTCTCCGCTTCGCGCTCCGTCTGTGCTTGGGCCCGCGATGCGAGCGGCGCGCGCACGAGCTGCAGGGCCAAGACCGGAGCGTGCGGATGCTTGCGAGGAGAAGAGTCGGGGGCAACGCCAAGTGGGGGGGGGGGATTGGCACAGGGGGGGATGCATCGACCCCACCCCCCAAGCGCCCACTGATTGCCGGCAGGGGCCCCATCGCCCCACCCCGCCCGGGAACGTGCGGGCTTGCTGTGCATCGGGGGCCCATCGCCGACCTATCGGCGATGTGTGGCCGATTGCAGGTCGATGCTTCCGCCCCCTGTGCCAGGCCCCCCCCCCGTCGTTGCCCTTCAGAAGGTGTTTTTGTATTATTCTCTTGCACAAGGTGTCTAGAGCTCCGACCACTTTATTCCGGCGTCGTCGTCGCTCCCCCCCAGCTGCCTTGTGCCCTTCATGTGTCGCTATCTGTGTCGCTGTGTGCCTTGTGCCCTTCATGTGCCGCTATATGTGTCGCTGTGTGTGTCGCTATGCGTCTCCATGTGTGCGTCGCTATGTGTCGCTGTGTGTCGCTATGCGTCGATATGTGTGTGTGTGTCGATATATGTCTCTATATGTCGACATGTGTCGCTATGTGTCGCTCCCCAGCACCCCAGCGCACCGCCCCCTCCGCCCCGACGACTTTATTTCGGCGTCGTCGTCGCCCCCCCCCTCTCCCTCTCCTCAGCAGCCCAGCGCGCTGCCCCCTCCGCCCCGACCACTTTATTTCGGCGTTGTGTCGACATGTGTCGCTATGTGTCGCTCCCCAGCACCCCAGCGCACCGCCCCCTCCGCCCCGACGACTTTATTTCGGCGTCGTCGTCGCCCCTACCCCAGCGCGCGTCGTTTTATTTCGGCGTCGTCGTCGCCCCCCCCCCCCCCCTCTCCCTCTCCTCAGCAGCCCAGCGCGCTGCCCCCTCCGCCCCGACCACTTTATTTCGGCGTCGTCGTCGCCCCCCCCCGGTCCTTTTCCCCAGCAGCCCAGCGCGCCGCCCTCTCCGCCCCGACCACTTTATTTCGGCGTCGTCGTCGCCCTATTTCGGCGTTGTGTCGACATGTGTCGCTTTCCCCAGCAGCCCAGCGCACCGCCCTCTCCGCCCCGACCATTTTATTTTCTTGCCCAGGGCGTTCGCTGCTCAGCGCCGAACGCGTCCCCGCGTCGCCCCCCCCGCCCCCCCGCGTCCCCAGCGCCAGTGTGAGGCCCCCGCGCCGTGGCTTTCTGCCCCGAGCCCACCGCGTCCCCAGCGCCCCAGCGGGGGCCCGCCCACTGCCCCCTCCGCCACGAACGCTTTATCCCGCGTCGCACCTCCCCCCCCCCCCCCGCGTCCCCAGCGCCAGTGTGGGACCCCCGCGCCGTGGCTCTCTGCCCCAAGCCCCACCGCGTCCCCAGCGCCCCAGCGGGGCCCCCGCCCACTGCCCCCTCCGACACGAACGCTGTATTACGCGTCGCCCCCCCCCCTCCGCGTCCCCAGCGCCAGAGTGGGGCCGCCCCCGAGCCCCCCCGCGTCCCCAGCGCCCCAGCGGGGGCCCCGCCCACTGCCCCTTCCGCCACTAACGCTTCATCCCGCGTCGCGCCGCACACCACCTCCCCCACCTCCCTCCCTCCCCGCGTCCCCAGCGCCCCAGTGGGGACTCCGCCCCGTGCCCCCTCCGCCCCGACATTTTATTCCGCGTCGCGACGCACGCCACCTCCCCCCCTTCCCCCCCTTTCCCCAGCGCCCCAGTTGGACCCCCGCCCCGTGGCCCTCTGCCCCAAGCCCCGCCCAGTGCCCCCTCCGCCCCGACAGTTTATTCCGCGTCGCGGCACACACCACCCCCCCTCCTCTCCGCGCCCCCAGCGCCCCAGTGGGACCTCCGCCCCGTGCTCCCTCCGCTCCGAGCACTTTATTCCGCGTCGCGACGCACGCCGCCTCCCCCCCTCCCCACCTGGGACTTGGGCCCCGTTGCTGGGCCCAGAGGGCGATGCTTGCCTTCCCCCTCTTCCCCTCCTCCTCCACCTCCACCTCCACCTCCTCCTCCTCCTCCTCCTCCTCCTCCTCCTCCTCCTCCTCCTCCTCCTCCTCCTCCTCCTCCTCCTCCTCCTCCCCCTTCCTTTTTGTGCAAGGTCTATGGCACACGTACCACTTGTAATTCCTGGGCTCTCATGGGGCGTCGGGTCCCGGATGGCACTTTTCGGCTCCGTGGGCCCAGCCGTGCTGCGGGTCGGGGAATGTCGGACGCGCCTAGGATCGAGGTAAATCCGTGACAAGCGTTCCGGAACGCCTTCAGAGTGTTCTGGAGCGCTCTGAAACAGCCGCGGCGCCCGATACATCTTCCAAGCTTGCCGTTGTTCAGAGATTCCGTATCTATGTCGGTCCGATTTGGTTTCGATTCTGCCTTCGTCTCATCTATTCGGCTCCCGTGAGCGCGCTGCAGACTCCCATGAGCGACCTGCTGACTGCTCCCGCCGCGAGGGCGGTGCAGCTCGCAGGTGGGAGCAGGCGGTCAAGACATGGGCGGCGTGCTGAAGGCATCCGCTTCCGTACGCGATTTCGAGGCGGAGATTTATCCGTGACCGCCGCCTGGGGGATCGATCTTCGCGGACCTCCACAGGCGGTGGATATGGATGTGTTCGTGCCCCGGGGGCCAACAGATATCCATATCCACAGCTCGCCGGGACACCAGGACGTCGGTTTCCAGGCGGTGGATCTGGAGAAATCCCCGCCTCGCAACATTTTCACCCACTGCTCACGCGCTGTGATCGGCGCAAGGCTCCTGGACTGGACTCATCTTTTCGGCTCCGAGGGCCCAGCCGCGCTGCAGGTCGGGCCATGGCCGCCCCGGTCCGCGTCTCCTTCGCGGCGCACTCGGGCCCGCGGCCTGGCCAGCCCGTGGGCGCACCGTCGCTCGTGGCGCGCGAGGGCGCCGCCGTGTTCGCCGAGGCGGTCAAGCGCCTCCGCCTGAAGAAGAAGGAGCCGGCAGCGTGTTCAGCTACGGCCCCAGAGCCCCTCGAGGCATGAGTAAATCACGCCGGCAGGTTTTTCTTCATGTAGCATCCCGCAGTCGCGGGTAAGAGTGAGGGGGCGGCGGGGACGTTGGCAGTTTGCGAGTTATGCAAGTTATACAGCGAGCCCGCCGCAGGCGCCGATTTTTCGTTAAAGCGATGTGGGGTGGTCGCCGGGTGGGTCACGGGTGGGTCAAGGGTGGGTCGCGGTTAGGTCGCGGGTGAGTCGCGGGTGGTCGCGGGCCGGGTTGCGTGTGGGTCGCGGGTGGGTCGCGGGCCAGGTTGCGTGTGGGTCGCGGGTGGGTCGCGGGCCGGGTCGCGGGTGGGTCGCGGGTGGGTCGCGGGCGGGTCGCGGCTTGGGTCGCAGGGTGGGTCGCGGGTGGATCGCGGGCGGGTCGCGGGGTGTGTCGCGGGTGGGTCGCGGACCGGGTCGCGGGGGGGACGACGCCAAACAACAATAATAACAACACCACCGTTCACAACAACAATAATACGATTAGTAATATTAGCCATACGAATACCAATCACATCAACAACAACAATTCCAACACCACTACCAACAGCCACAACAGCAGCAGCAACAACAACAATAATAACAACAACAATTACAACAACAACAAACAACAAACACCAAACAGCATCAGCAACAACAACAACAACATCAGCAACAACAGACAATCAAAAATCTAACCGCACAAACGAGCAAACGCACATACAGGCAGACAACCAAACAAACAACAATATCTACAACAACAACGGTCATTTTAAGACGCTTCGCTCTTATTTGCTCGAGTGTCATCCAATGTCGTTTTACCAAACCCTCGATACCCGCCCTCTTCGTCTTCGATCGTACCCCTGCAGGCCGGGCCCCAGCAAGCGGCGGCTTGGCCGCGGACCGTCGGCCTGGCCAGCTGCAGCGCTGATCGGCGACAACCCGACCCCAAGAGGGACGGACAGGGGACCGACCACGACGACGGCGACGACGACGACGACGACGACGCTGACGACGGCGACGGCGACGACGACGACGAGGGAAAGCGAGAGCGAAAGCGACAGCAGGGCCACGATGGGCAGGAAGGGGGCGACGAACAGCGACAGCGGGGCCACGAAGGGAATGCGTATGGGGCCACGAACGAAGGGCAGATAATGCGGGGCCGCAGAGGGCAGCGACGGGGCCGCTGAGGGTAGCAGCGGGGCCACGTAGGACAGCGATGGGGGTCACAAAGGGCGACAGCGGGGCCACGAAGGGAATGCATATGGGGACACGACTGGCGCGAACGAGCGGGGGCCACGATGGGCATGCGCATATTGACCGCAGAGGGCAAGGACGGGGCCACTGAGGGCAGCAACGGGGCTACAAAAGGGCAGCGAGGGGGCCACGATGGTCGACAGCGGGGCCACGAAACGCATGCATATGGGGCCACGAACGGTAGCGAGGGGCCGCGAAGGGCTGCAACGGGGCCACGAAGGGCAGTGAGGAGGCCACGACGGACTGCAAAGGGGTCTACGGAGGGCAGCGAGGGGACCACGAAAGGCTGCAACGGGGCCACGAAGGACAGCGAGGGTGCCGCGTAGGGCTGCAACGAGTCCACGAAGGGCAGCGAGGGCGCCACGAAGGATTGCAACGGGGTCTACGACGAGCAGCGAGGCGGCCACGAAAGGCTGCAACGGGGCCACGAAGGGCAGCGAGGGTGCCACGTTGGGCTGTAACGGGTCCACGAAGGGCAGCGAGGGCACCACGAAAGGCTGCAACGGGGCCGCGAAGGGAAGCGATATCCCGATGGCTGGGTGCCTCAGCGTCGGGAGCGGAGCGCTTGAGTAGATCGCGGGGAACTGCAACGCAACAGCGTGATTCTTGAGGAAATTGCAAGCAAGTCTCCAGCAAGAGCGCGACTCCTCACTGCCGAGAGAGCGATTTTTAAATATAAGGAAGTCCCCAGCGAGAGTGCGATTCCTGAGTAGAGCGCGAGTCCTGGCCAAATTGTGCTGAAATCTCACGCGGGACCCGTTGTTGTTGTAACCTAGGGGCCAGGGGCAAAGTTCGAGCCGAGTGATTTTTCCCTGCTGAAAAATTGGATGCGAGCCCCACGGGAAGCACCTCAATTGAAGAAACACCATGGTCACCGGAGGGGGAGCAACAATAATCATTTTGCATTAGTGAGGGTTCAACAACAACAACAGCAACAGCAACAACAATCATTTTCGGGCTGTTCGTTTTTATCTGCTCGCGTGACACTCAATATGTATATCCCAAGCCCTGGATACCCGCCCTCTTTGTCTTCGATCGTACCCCCTTTTGGGGGGTATATTCATTCCTTGCCACGTGTGGTTGGGGGCCACGACGGGCGCGAACGAGCGGGGGCCCCGAAGGGCATACGTATAGGGGGCCGCAGAGGGCAGCGACGGGGCCACTGATGGCAGAAACGGGGCCACGAAGGGCAGACAGGGAACCACGAATGGCGACAGCGGGGCCACGAAGGGCATGCGTATGGGGCCACGACGGGCGCGAACGAGCGGGGGCCACTAAGGGAATTCATATATGGGGCCAGAAAGGGCGACACCCGGGCCACTGAGCGCAGAAAGCTGGCCACGAAGGGCAGCGAGGGGGCCACGAATGGCGACAGCGGGGCGACGAAACGCATGCGTATGGGACCAGGAAGGGCGTGAGAGCGGGAGCCACGAAGGGCAATTAATCCGGGCCCACAGAGGGCAGCGACGGAGCCACTGAGGCCAGCAACGGGGCCACGAAGGGCAGAGAGGGGGCCACGAAGGGCAACAGCGGGGCCACGAAGGACATGCATATGGGGCCACGACGGGCGCGAACGAGCGGGGGCCACGAAGGGCATACGTATTTGGGGCCAGAAAGGGCGACACCGGGGCCACTGAGCGCAGAAAGTGTGCCACGAAGGGCCACGAATGGCGACAGCGGGGCGACGAAACGCATGCGTATGGGACCACACAGGGCGCGAGCGAGCGGGGGCCACGAATGGCAATTAATCCGGGGCCACAGAGGGGAGCGACGGGGCCGCTGAGGGCAGAAACGGGGCCACGAAGGGCAGAGAGGGGGCCACGAAGGGCGACAGCGGGGCCACGAAGGACACACATATGGGGCCACGACGGGCGCGAACGAGCGGGGGCCACGAAGGCCAGCCATTCGTATATGGGGCCACAAAAGACGACAGCGGGGCCACTGAGGGCAGCAAAGGGGCCACGAAGGGCAGCGAGAGGGCCACGAAGGGCGACAGCGGGGCTGCGAAGGGCATGCGTACGGGGCCACGACGGGCGAATGCGAGCGGGGGCCACGAAGGGCATATAATGCGGGGCCACAATGGACAGCGACGGGGCCACTGAGGGCAGCAACGGGGCCACGAAAGGCAGCGAGCGAAGGCGACCGCGGAACCACTACGGGCAGCGAGGGGCATCGAAGGCGGGCGAAGGGCAGCGAGCGGCGACTGCAGTCCGTAACGGGCTGGTCGGGCGGGCAGGCCCAGACGGGCGGGTCGAGCGGGCGGGTCGTTGAAGCGTAAATTTTGCTTGAACCGCCAGGCAATATGTAGCGGGAGCGCGATTCTTGGTTGTCGAGGAGCGGCATCTGAGTCAATTGTGAGGAAATATCAGGCGTGAACCGCGATTCGATGGTAAGTTGCGAGGAAGCCCCAAGCGAAAGCGCGATTCTTTTATACATTGTGAGGAAGTATCAAGCGGGAGCCGCGATCCGGTGGCAAATTGCAAAGAGGTCCAAAGCGAGAGCGCGATTCTCCAATACATTGTGAGGAAGTATCAGGCGGGAGCCGTTGTTGTTGTTGTTGTAAACTGGGGGCCAACAACACAGTTTGACTTTCAAGATTTTCCATGCAAAAAATAGGGTGGGAGCCCCGGGAAGGGCACTTCAATAGAAAAAGCAATGTGCACTGGACGGAGGGGATCAACAATAATTATTCTCCAGAAGTGAGAGTTGAACAACAATATCAAGAACAACAACAACACCAACAACAATAATCCGCATCGCGGAATCCCACCTCAGCCACGCACCCAGGCACAGTGAATGACCGTTCGGCCCCCTCACCCTGATTTTCGGCCCTTGGGGGCCTTCGCCAGGCTTCGGGACCGGCGTCGGGTTCCGCACAGACAACCCCCCAAGGTAGTTTTGGTTGGCCTCAACAGCCCCCCCGAGCGGACCCAGCTGGCCTCAACAAGTTCCCCCGGTAGTCCAGGGTGGCCCCAACACCCTAACGGCGCCGCCTCAAGCGGCACCCTTGGGGCGCTCCGCGGCCCAGGGTCGAGGTCCTTGAGACCGCCCCGGACTCCTCGGGGGGCCAGCAGCGTTTTCGGTTACGGCAGGGTCGTGCCATGCGGATCAGCGAAGGAGAAACGGGTGAAACACGAACTTTCAGAGCTCCGCGCGGATTTATTGGGTCGGCGCCGCCCCTGGCGCGCTCCGCGCGCCAGGGAGGGGGGCCCAGCACCAATCCTAGTTCCGCGCCGACCTCCAACAGTTCTGTGTTTGCGTGGTTTTTTATCCCTGCAGACCCTGGCGCTGGCATTCAAGGTTGAACGCGCCAGTGGACCGCCTAGCGGCCGATAGTGATCAGGAGGGAGAAAAACCCACAGACACAAATACTTTCGATTCCCCAGAAAATATGGGAAAACATGGGAAGTGGGGGGGAAAACAAGAACCCAGAAAATACGGGAATGATACCGGAGAAAAGCCCAAATCATGGGGCTATACGGCTATACGGCTATAGCGATATAGGGCTATTGAGCTATGGGGCTGTAGGGCTATAGGGCTATAGAGCTGTAGGGCTATATGGCTATAGGGCTATCGGGCTATAGGGCTACAGGGCACCCCCGGGCACCCCCGGGCACGCCCAGGCACACCCGGGCACCCCCGGGCACCCCGGCACCCGGGCGTGCGGCGAAAATCGGCGGCAAAACCAACCTAACCATATGAATCCGGTAGGACCCCTACAGAGGCAAGCTCTGATTGGGGAAAATATTGGGAATCCTGTTATTTGTGTCTATGTAGTTGTGTGGCCCCTTCAAGCGAGCGAGGTGTCGTCATCGGAAAGCCGAGGTCGAGCCGTCCGCGTGGCGTCAGAAGCTTCACGCCGAAGGCGCGACGGCGGGGTCGCCGACGTGCGCGCATGTTTTGGCGCGAGGGTGCACAACAACTTTAGCTTTGGAGGTGGGGAGCCTTCAGTGAGGGGCCTGTTTGCCACCACCACCATAAGTTTGAGGGGGAGGCGTCCTCCTCCTCCTCCTCCTCCTCCTCCTCCTCCTCCTCCCTCTCCTCCTCCTCCTCCTCCTCCTCCTCCTCTTCGTCGTCCTCCTCCTCCTCCTCCTCCTCCTCCTCGTCCTCCTCCTTCTCCTCCCCCTCCCCCTCCAAATTATGGTGGTGGTGGTGGAAAACGGGCCCATCATTGAGGCGGGGGTCAATGCAAACGGGGGTCAGCCAGAGCACGGGATCTTGCAGGATCCTGCGAGGCCAGGGCTGCATTGACCCGGGCAAGCGCGCAGGATCACGCAGGATCCCGCAGGATCTTGCAGGAACTTGCAAAAGTCTCACCAACCCGGGTTTGCATTGGCCCGGGACAGTAGAAGCCCGATGGGGGGGGACGCGTGTATTTTTCGTTGATCGGCGTTCCACCTTGGACCATGGAGGTACCCACTCACTCAGCGAAGAGGCTCGTGTTCTTGACCCGCGTTCTTGTGGCCGTGTCTCGGATGCAAGAGTGGCCCTTCGTTGGGGTGGCCTCTGGTTCGGACCCACAGGGATACCCCGAGCATTGGCTGGCGCGGCTTGTCTTTGCCCGCTCCCCCCCCCCTCCCGCGGCTCCATGAAGCCGCGCACCGAAGGCCACTCTTGCACAGGGTCGCTCATCACTCCGTCTGTGCGGCCGATTGGCGCAAGAGGCCTGAGCAACCACGGAGTCCAAGGCACCGAGACAGCAGGCGCGGTCGGAGCTTCGGCCAGAGAGCTCCGCCCTGAGCCGCAGGCCTGTTTCTGGCGTTGGAGATGCCCGCGGACCTTCTTGGGACGACCGTTTGGATCTCCTTGCGGCCACCTTCCGATTTGAGCTCTGGCAATCTGGGGCATCACGGGACAAACAGGTGTTCGTGGAGCCATCTTGGGCCGCTGCTGGTCTTGGGCGGTGTTACGCACATATTCCGCTGGGGGCGGGGCACTCAGTGGCCCTCTCGGGCAACATTTGGTTCATCTCGGGGCTTCATGGGGCACAGTCGTGGCGCATCTTGGGAGCATCCTGTGGCAGTACAGGACTAGATACTGGGCCATTTTGGGCAGCATTGGGAGGTACATTTGGTTTATGCGGCCATGCTGGAGCCATGCTGTGGAATCTTACGATCCCGCAGTTGGACCCCAAATGATCTACACAAGAATGCGCAGGAAGAGCAGCAGCAGGATACGCAAGATAACGATTCAGTAGAGGAGGGCAGGATTATTGTGATCGAGAGGACAACGAGGTTGAGGAACACAAATATTCTAACAAGGGGGGAGGAGGGTCGGAGGCAACAGAACACGATCATGAGCAGGGAGAGCGGGACGAGAACGGTGAGCAGCAGCAACAGGAACAGCAGGAACGGCAGCATCAGCAACAGCAGCATGACGAGGCAGTGGAGGAGGAACTTGAGTAAGTGAAGAGGAAGGATGGGAGGAGACGGCGGCCTGACTCATCAGACACGTAAGTTCGCCTTCCCCACAGCAGGGTCAGGAGCTGGGGGGTCAGAACTGTTCGCTTCAAGCGGCCTTGACCATATGAGCGACGCAAAGTATCGAGGTCGTCAGTGCCGGCATTGGTGCGTAAGCTGCCCGAGGAAGGTCGCGCGTAAGCGCCCTCGTCTCCACTGTGGCGTGCCGAGCCGGCGGCCCGCGTAAGCCACCGCGTAAGGTCGTTGTGCCATCTCGCGTGAAGCCCGTTTTCGATCGTCGCTGATTTGCTACTAGGTAGTGGACGTCGACCCACGTCGCCACCGCTCCTGGGGTCCCCCTCGGGAGGCTCGCAGACAAGCCTCCTGGTGTTTCTTCGTCGAGCATTTCGTGTTTTCTGGGGGGGGCCTTCCTGCAGGTCTCTCGGGCGCCTCGCGGGGGCCTCGTGCGGACCTCTGGGGCGCCTCTTGGTTCAGGAGGGAAAAAAAACACAGACGCACAGAATCGTCGATCCCCCAGAAAGTATGGAAGATATGGGAAGTAGGGGAGGAAGTCGAAACTCCAGTACACATCGGAAATAGCTATAGGAGCATCCTGGGAGTTGTCTATTGTTTGTGTGTCCGTGGGCCCCTCTGCACTCAGTGGCCTCCCAGGGCTTCCTTGGGCCTCTTTGCACTCGATGGCCTGCAGGCGCTCTCGGGGACCTCTGAAGCCTTGAGGCCCTACGAGGGTGCCCGCGGATTTCGGCGTGCAGGCCTTTCCGGTCGGGAACTTTTGGATTTTGTTTCGAGGTTCGAGGTTTTCGGACGTTATGGTCGATTCTCGGAGGCTTTCCAGCCTCGGGTTACCTTCCAGCAGCTGCGCCTCGCCGAGGGCGTTCTGGGGGTGCCAGGATAGTCCCGAACGGCCGCCAGAGAGCCGAGTTAGTACCCGAAGGCCGGCGGCACACAGATCAGAGGCATTGTAAGGGGGGATGCTCCCAGAGCCCAATATATTTTAGGCACCTTCTTACTTCAACGCGCGCTTTTCCCTCTTCCCTCCTCTTCCGAGGGCGGGCGTAAGCTTAATTTACTTCTAACGCCTTCATACTTCATGTTTCTACCCACTTCTTCCGACCGATGGGTACGGTCAGGAACTTTTGGTTAGTGTATATCGCTCCGCCGGTTCTGGTCCACCACGCTTCGGCGCGACACCCCGTCCCCGCGCGTCAACGTCCCGAGCCTTTCCTACCTGCCCCACGGAGCAGAGCGACACGCGATTTGTTCGTAATGCATAGCGTGTCGCCGGGGCCGCCGCCGCGACACGCTAAGCAAAAGTTCCCGACCGTGCTTCGACGGCATAGGATTCTGTGCGCGCGCATGCTCACCACAGGAGGCTGCGGCGGCGCGACTGTTCCTCTGGTGCCGCGACGAGCGTGCCGGCACCGAGCTTCGGCGTGAGGTGCGGGGGGGCGAGCTCGGGGTTCTTGTCAGAGGGGGTTGTCCGGAGTTCACAGTAGAAGGGGGGGGGTCTGATGCTCTTTTGGTCTTGGAGGGTCCCAGGGGTCTGGACAACGGGCCGCCCTTCTATGGCCTGTCTGGGGGGGAGTCTACAATTGCTAGTCTGGAAGGGTTGCTACCCCTTGTCTTTGATAGCAATTGTGGGGTATCGAGCTGGCCTGGCAGGGTTGTCAGATCTGATCGCACGCGATGTCTTGTCCCCAATCTCCGAGCTCTCCCTCCGAAAAGTGAAGCCGCTCAGAAAGGGAGGGAAATTCGTTGATAAACTCCCAGGGGCCTATTCGGACGCACCACTATCAAGGATGGGCGCCCCCCATCGCATATCCCCGAGTTGGGCCCCAATGTTTTGGATCAGTCGGGAGCCCCAGTTATCTATGATCGCCGTTGCATGGTATGGGGATTTCCGTTCATAGCCATGTTAGATGGGTTCGCCAATGCTTTCACAAGCACATGACCAGGGCATGAGTGTGCGCCAGAGCAAGACACATGGGGGCGGGAATGGTTGGCACGGTCTGTGCCTTGTCCACTCCACGTCAAAGATGTTGCCGCTTGCGCACGCAGTTGTTTGCACCGCATATTCTACCGAAGCAGGCAGTTATTGAGTTCGAGGGTCAACGCATGACCTCAGCACAAACTGTCAGAGGTCCGGGCGGATTTCTTGTATCGGCGCTCCCCCCCCCTTCCCGGCTCGTGGAGCGCGCCAGGGGCGGCGCCAGAGGCGCCGCCAGGGGGCTCCAGCGCCGATCAAGGAAATCCGCGCGGACCTCCGAAAGTGTGCCATTCGCTGTCCCTCGATGCCTCCGAGCCACCAGAGGCCATTCGCAGGCAAGATTGGTGGCGTTGCGAGGGCTTTCGTATCAACCCTCCCGGGGACCCCGAGCTTGCGTGTTGTTGTGGGCGGGAAAACAGATCCGTATCCGCGGCCTCGCGGGCTGAGCCCATGGGCCGATACCCCACGGTACGGGGCGTCTTTTCGCTGATGCCCCGCGCGGAACGTATCCGTAAGACTGCATATCCGCTGGATCGGGCCCCAGAATCCAGTCCGCGAGTGCGCGGGCACGGATGTGTTCGCCGTTCGTGATGTTAGCAAGGGCTGCTTGGAGGCGTTGCTGAGGAGCGGCGATCTCATCGCGGTCTCGCTGGGGGAGGATCTGGGGAGGCCAAGCGCCGCCCTGGAGGTGTGCCTGGGGGCCCAGGCTTGGCGCGCACTGGGGGTTACTCGAAGAGAAACACATGGCATACACAGCACTTCCGGGACGTCCGCGCGGATTCCTTGGATCGGTGCTGACCGCCCGCCACACACGCACACACCTGGCCGCCCCTGCGGCGTCGCCCCTGGCGCGCTCCGCGCGGGGGGGGGGTCCAGCGCCGATCCGAGACATCCGCGCGGACCTCCGAGACATCCGCGCGGACCTCCGAGACATTGTGTCTTTATGCCGTCTTTTGTTCTTCTGGGTACGTCGCCTGGGGGACATTTTTGGCTTCTCCAAGATCGGCACGAACGAAATAGGTACGGAAAGAGCGCGTTCGAACACCGACAGCAGTTCCGGCCCTTTTTGAGCAGGATTCGTTGTCGGTGCCGCCGCGGGCGGCGGGCGTTGTCTATCTGAGACAGGGGGCTGCCTGTCCAGCAGCGACCGCCGCTGGTTTTGGACAACATTAGGTGTTGAGCATCGTACCCATTCTTTCTGCACCGAGTTCTGCACCGAGTTAGGGCGACGAGATCTCGTATCCACCGCTCCCTGGCCATGCCCGTCCTGAACCCAGCAGCCGTGCATACGCCCTCATGGCCAAGCCAAGAGGGCGTGGCGTATACCCCGCTGCCAGGCTCAGGATGGGCGTTGCCAGGGAGCAGTGTATGCGTGAGGCGTTTCAAAAAGGGCCTCGCCTTCGAGGATCGAAGGAGTTGCCATCTCTTCCGCGGCGGAAGGCAGCGGAAGGGCGGCGGAAGGTCGGCGGAAGTAATTCAAACGAGGCCGCCTCCGCGAGGGGAAGCCGGCGGATGGCCAGCGGAAGGCGGCGGAAGCAAAAGATGCGCACCCAAGAGATGAAAACGTTTGTGTGTTCAGGGAGCAGTGTAGATGTTTCGGGGAGACGTAAGACTCGAGTAACCCAGAACTCGGGTCAGCCGACGCTTTTTGACGAGCGCGTCCTGGATTTCGACGGCCTGGTTTTCGTGAGATGTCTGCAGCGGGAGTTCGCGTCAACTTTCAGATTGGGCCTCGTCAGTTTCATGATGGCCCCGTCAGGCCAACCCGTCGTGGACAGATTGTCGGAGGCGTCCAAGTAAAGAAGGAGGAGGAGGAGGAGGAGGAGGAGGAGGAGGGGAGGAGGAGGAGGAGGACTGAGGGCAGGGGCAACGTAAGGGGGAGGGATGGCTCAGGGTGGGACGCGGCGACCCTCAATCGCTCTCATGATACGTCTCCCCGAAAGTGTCAATCTCCTCGCCCTAAAGAGGAGTACCGGGGACCTGCGTCCTCGGCGGGATCCTGCCAGGCCGAGGGGGCGATCCTTGCCGCTGCTGGGCGGGAGGCGGGTGCGGCGCGAGAGGCGGCCCCGTGCCTCCTCCTCCTCCTCCTCCTCCTCCTCCTCCTCCTCCTCCCGCTCCTCCTTTTCCTCCTCCACAATTACTCAATATGAATACTACTCTCCCTCTTCCCCTGATGACGGTTTGAAAGTGTCCGACCCCCCCCCCCCGCGTATTGTTTTTTTGCGCAGGTTTCCCTGGAGTTGGGTTTTCGCCTGCATTTGTTTCAAAATGCTGCTCTCGCTGAGGCGCTGGCCTCATTTCCGGGCCCCGCTCGTTCCGAATCGTGCTCCCGCTGCAGCGTTGGCCTCATTTCCGTGCTTCCGCTCGTTCCGGATCGTGCTCCCGCTGCAGCGTTGGCCTCATTTCCGCGTTTCCGCTCGTTTCGACTCGTGCTCCCGCTGCAGCGCTGGCGCCATTTCCCGTGCCATGCCACGGCATGCAATGCAATGCTAGATTGATACTACGCTTTGCGGTGCTTTTCTACGCCATGCCACGCCGTGCTCTACAACGCATCGCGTACCCTTTCGGGATCATTGCCCTGCTCGACATCCGACTGAGCGAGTAGAGAGGGGATCTGCGCCATGGTAAGGGATGGGAGGGAGGGGTAGGATGCCAGGAATGACGCGAGCGCACCTAGCTTGTCCCCCTCCCCCTCCCCCTCCTCCTCCTCCTCCTCCTCCTACTCCTGCCCCTCCCCCTCCCCCTCCTCCTCCTCCTCCTCCTCCTCCTCCTCCTCTTCCTCCTCCTCCTCCTCCTCCTCCTCCTCCTCCGAGGTGGCTCTCGCGCGGGCCCGCAGGCATTTTGCCCTCGGCGCGGGCGCCCGCTGAGCGATAGCCCCCAGCCCCACGGAGGGGCGACACTGCGCTGTGGAGGCGCGCTCCCGCTCGCCAGCGTGGCACCGCAGGGAGCGGCGCCAGCGTGCAGCGGCGAGGAGGCGGCTGCAGCTAGAACGCGACCAGAGACTGCTGAACGACCATCACGGCAGTGCCGCTCCCAAGATGCACCGTGGCAGCCAGTCGCCCACGACATGGGCCACCTGCAAGCGCTGCAAGGAGTGGTCGTGGCACGCCACGCTCGAGAAGAGAAAGACTACTGGTGCAGCTGCGGAGCCCGAGTCGCCAGGCCCAAGACGGGTGGCGGCCAAGACTCCAGCAGCGGCAGCGGATGGTGGCGACAGCAACCCATCGGCAACAACGGAGGCGCGAGCTCGGCTGCTGGAGGCAGAGGACGCTCGCAAGACAACGCCGCCTCCCTCACCGGGCAGGGCGTCGCCAGGCTCGCCACAGCGCTGCGGACGGTGACAGAGTCCACCGGCTCGCTGAAGCTAGCCAACGGCGAAGACATCGCGAAGCAGCTAACGCACGTGGCCGACACGCTCAACGTCCCCGAGAAGAAGAAGCCGCCCAAGTTCAAGGCGGTGCGCCTCGCGGGGGCGGCGAAGACGCTCGACTCCGCGACCCGCGCCTACAACTGGGCGTACGAGCAGAAGGTGCTGGCCGAAGCGAAGGCGTCCAAGGCCCGTGAAAGGTTGCAGGAGAGTGCGGACGCAGTCGTCAACGCTGAGACCGAGATCGAGGCCATCCAGAACGAGGGCAAGCAGAAGGCGCCGAAGAGCATCTCCGAGCAGCTGCTGGACACCGACGCCGACCTGCTCTCGCCCAGCGACGTGCAAATCGCCGAGGTCGAGGACGAGTTCCGCAAGGACGAGACCTCGACGCCGAGGGAAAGAAGGCCGTGGACGAGGCCAAGAGACAGGTGCTCGAGCAGCTGCAGCGCAACACCGGGGAGTTCGCGGGCCAGCTGAAGCAGCACCTCCAGGCCGCCAAAGCCAAGGCCGAGCAGGAGCGGGCCGAGATCCAGCAGGCATACAAGAAGCGGAAGGCGGAGCAGCACACGACGGGACAGGCCGCAGACGCGCCGACCGCCGTTGCTCCACCAACAGCAGGCGCCTATGGATCTGCGGCCCAGCACGACAACGACGCCCACGACAACGCGGTACCATGCGCCGCGGAGGACTACCTCCAACAAAGGCGGGACGCGGCGGCCTCATCCGAGGCCTCCGCATCCTGCTGAAGGTCGCGGCGCGGTGGGAGACGGCAGTTCGGCGACGACCCCGACCCCCGCCACGAGCGCCGCATATTCAGCGCCAACATCGCGACTTGGGGCCCCGCGGTGTTGAACTGGCTAAAACGAGACGGAGTACGGCAGCCCTACGACGTCTACGCCATCCAGAAGACCCACCTGCCCCAGGCCCAGCTCGCGGACTTGGAGCACACGCTGCAGAAGATGGGCTTCTCAGCAGTGTTCACCGCGGCGCGCGCCAGTACGAGCAGCCCCAGTGGAACTTGCGGAGGCACGGGAGTCCTCACCAGGGGCCACCACAAGGCAACGGCGCACCGACATCGGGGAGAACGCGCCTTCGTCTCGGACGCCACCACCTACGACGCCGACGACGCCCGCGCCACCTACTGCATGTGCGACTGGGCGCCAGTCACTCTGCACCTGCGAGGCTCCCAGCTCCTCATCATCTCCCTCTACCTCGACCCGTGCCATTCCCTCAACTGCGGCGAGAACTTCAGGAAGTTGACGCCCCTGGCCGCCTTCCTCGCCAACACGCACATGCCGTGGACCATCTGTGGCGACTTCAACCGCTCCTACGCCGACCTGGCGCAGTCAGGCTGGACCACAGCCCTCGGCGCCGCCGCCTACGTGGGACTCGACGACAACCAGTGCACGGGCCTCCTCGGCGACGCGCAGCCCTTCAACATCGGCTACGCGCTCGCCAACGAAGGAGGGCAACGACTCGTGCGAGGAATGCAACCAGCAAACGATGTACCATGGAAGCCGCACATCGGGATCGACATCACTATCCGAGCGGACGCGGGCGCCAACCGCGCCCGACGACTGCCGAAGCCGAAGGCTTCCCCACGCCCTGCCCCACCCAACAAGCAGCCAACCACCGCCAAGCGCCAAAAGAAGAGGCGCCCCAAGAATCAAGCAACGACATCCCCACAGCCATCGCCCGACCAAGACCAGACCGACGCCAGCCGCTGGGAAGCTCTTGGACCGCAAGGATGGCACCACGCCGTTACCGACAACATGCATGATTCGGAGGGGTATACACATGTTGCAGCAGAAGCTCAGATGGCCCACGCTAGCGACATGGACTACACCGACGACCACGAGAATTCAGCGCTGCCCAACGACCTGGACTGCGACGAGGCTCAGAGAGCACCCGAGCAGAAACTACTACTTGAGCAGCTCACCGAGCGAGCAAACCGCGCCGCTACCAGGGCGCCCGACGACGCCTGGACCGCTGCCAACATGCCCGACCATGGACCCAACAGCCCAGCCCCCACATTGACGAAGACCAACAAACCCGACGAACCCGAACCCCCACATATTCCACCACCAAGGACGCAAGCCGTTCACCGCAACGGTGTGGAGGGGGAGGACGAGTATTCCCCGCGTCCACCAGAAGGGGCGGCCAGGGGACGTCAGCGAGGAGATGCATTTGAAGGCCCTCGCCCGCGCTCCCCAACCGCTCCACGTCAGCCCGACCACCGCCAGGACAAGCAGAGTGAGCAGCCACCACAATGCGACGAACAGCGAACCTGCGCGCATCAACCTCAACGGCCCTCGACAGCCGAAGTGACTGTTTCGAGCATCGACGAGGAACGCCGCAGGCAATGGGTCCGCAGGCCCCTCTACGCTGCCAGCCGACCGATCGAACAGCACGACGGCGACCAGCAGCAACACGCCCAACAGCACCACGCCACCGAGCACCACTGAGACCAGCACGACAAGGAGGACCAGCAGCACTACGCCGCCCAACACCACCGCGACGCCCACGGCCGCGCTGGAGTGAAGGGGCCTAGTACTGCCACCTCCCTCGGAAGACATGCCGCGAGGGGCGCTCGGGGCGGCCTCCCCGAGGGCGCTTCGCGGGGTGCTGAGGATCTCGGGGGTGGGGCGCGGACGACGCAGAGGACGTGCTCGGCCGCCTTGCTCCACGCGCCTCCGCAAGACGCGCGTGGAGAAGGGGGCGGCCCTCGGGGGCGCGGCCCCCTAGAGCCAGAGGGGAATCTCGCGGGAATCTCCAGGAAGACGACGACAGCAACCCATCGGCAACAGTGGAGGTGCGTGCCCAGCAGCTGGAGGTCGAGGGCGCTCACAAGACAACGCCGCCTCCCCAGCCGAGCAGGGCGCCGCCGCACTCGCCACAGCACTGCGGACTGTGACGGAGTCCATCGGTACGAAGAAGCCGACCAACGGCGAAGACATCGCGACGCAGCTGACGGGCGTGGCCGACGACCTCGACGCCCCGAGAAGAAGACGCCGCCCAAGTCCAAGCCGGCGCGCTTGGCAGAGGCAACGAAGTCGCCCGACTCCGAGACCCGCACCTACAACTGGGCGTTCGAGCTGCAGGTGCTGGCCGAGGCGAAGGCAGCCAAGGCCCGCGATAAGTTGCAGGAGTGCGCGGGCGCGGTCGTCAGTGCAGAGGCCGAGACCGAAGCCATCCAGAACGTGAGCAAGCAGAAGGCGTCGAAGAGCATCTTCGAACAGCTGCTGACAGTCGTCAGCTCGACGACGCACAGTACGACGGGCACCAGCAGCCCACCCAGCAGCACCGCGCCGCCCAGCACCATCGCGACCCGCACGGCCGCGCTGGACTGGATGGGCCAGGTACTGCCACCCTCCTTGGAAGGCATGTCGCGAGGGGCGCTCGGGGTGGCCTCCCCGAGGGCGCGTCGCGGGGTGCTGGGGATCTCGGAGGCGGAGCGCGGACGTCACAGTGGACGCGCTCGGCAAGCTTGCTCCACGCGCCTCCGCAAGACGCGCGTGGAGAGGTGGGCGGCCCTCAGGGGCGCGGCAGCGGTTGGCCCCGCGCGCGGCGCGCGCCGCGCGGGGGGGGGCCGCGACGGGGCGGGAGAGATTGCCTGCGGCAGAGGGGTAACTCGTGGTAACTCCTCCTCCTCCTCCTCCTCCTCCTCCTCCTCCTCCTCCTCCTCCTCCTCCT